GTTCTAGTGGTTTAGTAGTGCTGTGTACTGAAATGGGGGAAACTAGAAGAGAAATAGGTATGGGGTAAGGGAATAAAGTGTTCTGTTTTGTGGTTTATGATGCAATGTCCAGTTGTCATCTATAAACATGGGTATATGGGTCTGGAGCTCAGATTTGACAAACACATGGGCTGGGGATGTGAATTTGGGGCATATAAATGGTATTTACCGCACTAAAAATAAAAGACCTCACTTATGATGGGAAGTAAAGAGGAAAAAAAGCAGGCCCAGGGCAGAACCCTAGAGAATGCAGATACTCCGGGTTCTGGTAGAGGAGGAAAGCCCTGCAAGGGGGAGACAATGGCCAGAGAGGCAGGAGGAAGACCAAAGGGATCTCAAGAAAGGATAGCATTTCAGGAAGGATGGAATGATGGGTTGTATCAGATGCTGCTGAGAGAAGAGAGGTGTGTGGCTGTACATCCAAGGAGTTGTATGTGAACTTGACAAGGCAGTTTTGGTGGAGCGTGGGGACAGATGGAGAAGCAGAAGTGGAAGTAGTATGTGCAGACAAGTCTTTCAAAAGATTGGGGGTGGAATACCACAATGAGGGGGACAGGAGGTGGGTTCAAGGGATTTATCTGTATAGTTTGGGTGACACAAAAGCACATTCCTGTTGCTACTGGGAATGACCCCATAGAGAAGGAGAGATGAATGACCCCAGAGAGAGAGAGAGACAGAGAGAGTGAGAGTGACTCTCAGAAGGGAGGCCCTGAAAAGAGAGGGGTATATGAAGTCCATGTACAAAGGCACAACTCATACCAGCCAAAAAGGATACCTGTGCTACAGCATGAGACGCAGGCCCAGGAGCTCTGTGCCAGAAGGAATGGCCACATGGTTCCGGTGGCACTGGCCATGGTTCCGGTTGCTTAGCAACCTGTGTTTAGTAAGATGTTTCAACTGAATTCCTAATTAAGGTCATTTCAACTTATGCTAACGGTTCCTGCCCCAGGGGTCCTCACTCTGCTTCTTTCCCTCTCCCAAAGTCTGGTACTTCTGAAATGCTCTTTTGCTGAAATGCTCTGAAACTGGAAAGCTCAAATTTCTACTTTCTTGAACTGTCGATAATATGTATGCATGAGGATGTGAAACTTGGGGACTCTCACTCAGTCTTAAAGGGAGGATGCCAAAGAATGCAGGGTATAGATCTCCGGTTCAGAGCCCTCCAATGACCTCCAATCGCCTTCTTGGCCTCTTCCCCACAGGCATCTCAGGCTAAGCAGAATCCTTAATACCTTCTATTCAGCCACCCAACCTCATCCATCCTACAGTTTTTAACTATTAGAGAACATGCTCCCAGCACCTACCCATTTAACATGTCTTCCCAAAGTCATTCTGGATTCCTCACTCTACACACTCTGTACAATTAATTACAGCCTTCAACACACTTCTCAAAAATTCTACTTTTCTGCATGCCCTCTGAGTCTGCCCTGGTGCAAGCCACAATTATCCTTCATCGGGATCATTACAAGAGATCTCTAACTGCTGCTTCTCTCAACCCACCTCCAACCATTCTTCACCCTGCAGCCAGAGTGTGGTCTTTTAAAGCATAATCAAATCAATTCACTTACCCTGCTTAAAACCTTCAAAGTTTTCCCATTCTTCCATTCTCCTATTAACTAGAGCTGTTTGCCATCCTCCCTAACTCTGTGTCGCTGGAATTCCTTTCCCCCAGCAACCTTCCTACCCTAACTGGCTACTTCTCATCCCCTTCTAGGTGCTCTCTTCCCTACTCCATCACAGCACCCTGCCAAGTGCCTTCTCAGCTGAACCAGATGTCTCCCTGTCAGAGGCATTGAACTCCATGTGGATGGACAAGAGATGTTCACCTGTGTCTCCCCAGAGCCCAGTACTGTCTGGCAGGCAGTAAATACATACTTGAGGATTAGCATGACTTGATATAAGCAGATTCCCTGCAAGTGAGGTTTATGGTTGTACTTTTTTTTTTAAGTAGTCTCTATGCCCAACATGCAGCTTGAACTCATGACCCGAAGGTCAAGTTGCATGCTCTCCTGACTGTACCACCCAGGTGTCCCATGGTTGTATTTTTATAAGTATTAATAAAAGATCAAGCAACTCATAAAGGGGATTCTTCTTGGCTGTTTTAATCTTCTAGTTGCTGTCCTTCTAGTGTCCAATAGGATGATGACTACCATTGACTGTGCCCAATATGTGGCAGGCACTGCACATTTCTTACTTCTAATTCCTTTTTTTTTTTTAAGATTTTGTTTATTCATTTGAGAGAGAGAGAGAACACAAGTGTGGGGGGGCAGAGGGAGAAGGAGAAGCAGACCCCCCACTGAGCAGGGACCTCAACACGGGGGCTCGATTCCAGGACCTTGAGATCATGACCTGCGCTGAAGGCAGACGCCCAACCAACTGAGCCACCCAGGTGCCCCTCTTACTTCTAATTCTTATAACAACCCAATGAAGCAACCCTGTTATTTCTACTGTACAAAGTAAAACCTACACTCTTTATCATGCTTGATGTTGAGTCTTGTTTATTCCATATTCCACTTGAAATCATGAAAATTTTCAAGTAGAATGAAAGTAACAATCCAATTTACTTGATGAAGAAGGTAAAGCCCAGAGAAGGAAAGCCCAAGTCTCCTCATGAAGGAACTGGGCCTAGAACCCTGCTAGTGGTAAAAACAAAACAGTTCACACACACACAAAGCAAAAAAAAACCAAAACAAACAAACAAACCCACAAACAGTTCACAAGAGTCAGAGGAGCAAGCTACCTAATCCAGCACTCTGACTTTAAGAAGGTTGGAATCCTTAGACTTATTATCTATCTCTTTAGCACCTAGTAGATGCTAGGCTCTGTTCTTGGCTCGGGAAACAGAGTAGAGAACAAGACAAAGTCCCTGCCCTTATGGGGCTTACATTCCAGTGGTGCGAGATAGACAATAAAGAAATAGACAAGTGAAGAAGATAATTTCAGACAGGAACAAGTATTATTAAGAACTGTAAATTGGGTGAAGGGATACTGAGTGAGGGGAAAGAACTCTAAATAAAGTTCTGAGGAGGTGACTTTGAACTGAAATTTGAGAAATGAAGAACCATCTCTGAGAAAAGCCACAGAAAGAATGCCCCACAAAGAGCATCAAGTGCAAAGGTGTTAAGGCGAACTCAAGCTTGGCAGTCAAGAAGTGAGTGGATGGATGCAGTGAGAGGTGGAGAGGCTAGCACAGAAGCAGGGTTTGTTCTTTTTTTTCTAAGATTTTATTTATTCATGAGATACACATGAGAGGCAGAGACACAGGCAGAGGGAGAAGCAGGCTCATTGCGGGGAGCCTGATACAGGACTGCATCCCAAGACCCATGGTATCATGACCTGAGCCAAAGGCAGACGCTCAACCACTGAGTCACCCAGGTGCCCAGTACAGCAGCTGGTTGAAGATAAAACTGGGGCCAGGTCATTCAGGGGCTTATGGAATGTTTGAATTTTTTTGAAAGCGCAGGGGGAAGCTAATGAACGTTTTAAGCAAGGGGATGAACATGATCTGGCTTATGATTTAAATTTTTTTTAATTTTTAGTTATTTTATGATAGTTACAGAGAGAGAGAGAGAGAGAGAGAGAGAGAAGCAGAGACATAGGCAGAGGGAGAAGCAGGCTCCATGCACCGGGAGGCCGACGTGGGATTCGATCCGGGGTCTCCAGAATCGCGCCCTGGGCCAAAAGCAGGCACCAAACCGCTGCGCCACCCAGGGATCCCTGGCTTATGATTTAAAAGATCACCTGTATGGATTAAAGAAAGTGAGAAGTCAAACAGGGACCTGTTTGAGGCCTACTGTGCTGGACTGGTGGCTTCCATGAGGGTGATAGTGGAGGAGGAATTCAGGATACATTTTGGCTGTAGAATCAACAATACTGGTTGATAGCATGAATATGGGGTTGGTGGCAGAAGGGGTTAAAGAAAAGAAAAATCAAAGACTTTCACATCTATATGGTGGACCTCAAATTTAGAAATATTTTTAACATATATTCAGCCTCCATTTATTACATTTAGATTATTTTTTTCCTTTTGTCTTTTTTTTTTCATTTTATTTTTTTAAAATCTCTACACTCAGTGGAGCTCCAACAAATGACCCTAAGATCAAGAGCCTCAAGATCCTCTGACTGCGCCAGTCAGGCGCCCCTACATTTAGATTCTTCTTTTTCTTCTTCTTCTTCTTCTTCTTCTTCTTCTTCTTCTTCTTCTTCTTCTTCTTTCTTCTTCTTTCTTTTTTTTTTTTTTACATTTAGATTCCTAATTCATTAGAGCACCGCATAGCACAGGGCTAAACCTTAAATTCCAATTCTTAGGTTCCAATTCCAACCTTAAATCCCAATTCCAAAGAGCCACGGATTCATCTTTAATAGGGTGATGGGCTGTCTCCAGATTTGAGCTGTTGTGTAAAAAGCTCCACCAGAGCACCTAGAACTGAGTGTTCAAGGAGGTTGTGAGACATCCAAAATGAGGGAGGCAGAGTGCCTCATACTCGAGGTTTTATTCAGCGGATGATGATGGAGGGACAATGTTACAGGATTTTGGGCATGTGAGGCATTTATAGCACTGGGCTTAAGAGCAATCAGCTTTCTGCCCGAATTGGAAATGCGTTTCTTTGCAAGTTGTCCTGGCCCAAGGGCACCTTAAAATTCTTCTAATCTGTCATTCCTGATGGCCTAGAACAGCACCTATCGTACGTGTTCAAGAATTGTTTGCTAAAGAACGGAGTAGGGCTGAGAGGTGGAGGTTAGCGCAGAGAAACGAGGTCTGCCGCTGTGCCGCAGGGATTTTCACATCGCTATAGCAACGCACCCTTCCACGCGCACCCACAGGGGAACTACAAGTCCCACAAGTACCCGCGGCTTCCCCGCCCCCCCGGGGCTGGAGCGCGGGCGAGCGCGGAACCAGCTTTTCCTCTTTCCTGCAACGTGATTGGCCCGCGGCTCTGGGAGGCGGCCAATGACTGCGCTCAGGAAGAGCCGCGAGGCCAATATGGCTTCCTGCACCTGGTGACGGTTGAAGAAACGGGTGTTAGGTCTCATGGAGAAGACGCGGGGCGTCGAGGTGAGAGGATTTATCGTGACGGGGAAAGGGAAGCCCTTGAGCCTCGCACGGGGGGCAGCTCTCGAGGCCTTGGGGCGACGCCTGGAGGGTGGAGAGTGGAAGGATGGATAAACTGAGGTAGTTAGGCTGAGCAGGGCCAGAGGCGATTGGCGTTGCCTTTTGCGCCCACACCGCTGGGGCCGACGTCCCGCGGGTAGGTCGGGGCGGAACAGCCTCCCTGGCCTGTGGGAACGGGAACTGGGTTCAGGATCTGGGAGCTCCTGGATCTTCTTTGTCCTCCCTCTCTTTGGTCGTTTCTTTGGGGATCAGGAGGCCTGTGACATCCTGGTGGGACGTGAGGGAGATTCAAGTTTCCTACCACTGCGTGTCTGGAGCGTTCACGGGCATTATCGCCCGGGATTCTCACAACAATCCTGTGTCACTGTTTCGTTGTTATGGTTGGAGTAGCCGACGCTTACAGCCAGATGGTGCCCCCCGAGGAGGGCCACCCAACCGCAGCGGGAAGGAGATGGGCACCCAGTCGTTCAGGCTCCCCAGCCTTTCCCACTCTCCTGCAACCTGTAACCCACTCACCCCTGGGTCACTTGGCTTCTGGTCACCTTGTATTTAAATTCGGTCTCTTCTTTAGCACATTTGGGGACGTAGTTGTAAACCTGAAAATGGAATAGCCCCCAAACTGTAAAGGGTAAAGGAGAATAAGCGCTCACGCGTTTACAGCCCTCCCTAATGGCTAGAAACGACTAGGCTTTACACATCTCAGTCTTCATTCGAGTTATCTGAAGAAGGCCTGCTGTTACCTCTCTTGTACTGATGAAGAAACTGAAGAAACAGGCTCGTATGTTGCACAAAATCACAATTGAGTGGTAGAGCCAGGATTCAGGCAAATCTGGTTGAAACCCCATGCTTTTACCCAGAAATAATTGCCAATATGTCTTGAATACTTGCAAGGCACTGTTTTGAGTGCAATACTTATATTCACTCTTATTTCTCCCGCAAAGCTTCGGAAAGAGGTGGTTTCCTCATTTACAGAGGTGGGAACTGATGCACCAAGAGACTGACTTGCTGCAGATCATACAGCTGGTCAGCGGTAGAGATGGTATTTGAGCCCTGGCCTAGGACCTTTTCTACTACATTCCTTCCAGGTGGATTGATAGACAGTATCTCATTTACATTTCACATCCTGTGAGCTACTTATTTCACAGATGAAAAAGTTGAGGCCCAGAGGAGTTAAATGACTTGCCCAAAGTTAGGATTGGAGCAGAGTCCAGAGCTATGGTACATACATACACTGTGCGATAACTAGTGTGTCCTCTGTCTCCTAGATCCTCCTCAGGGTAGGATCTGCGTCCCAAATTGACTTTTCTGTGGCTGAAATGGTTTTCGAATTGACATTGTGTTGATGTATATATGCTGAAGGGGGGAAGTTGATTTTCTAACATCTTCCCTCAGAAAGTCTTCATGAGATAACAGAGTATTTTCACATCATCGTATTCTATTCTAAAACGTCATCATTTATAAATACACAGGAGGAGCTTGGTGAATTCCTGATATTATCTGTTTTGTTAAACCATCCTGATGAGTTTCAGTTAAGAACTATATAAACAGGAGTAATGATCCTGGTGTTTGCAAAAGGGATATTTGATTCTGCCTGCCACTTGGTCCAAAGGTGTTGACCAAGACCTGGAAAAGATGCTGGTAGCTGACCTGCATCCTTCTTCCCCATACTCTAAGCTAGACCTGATTCCTCCAGCCTGGTTTGTGTCATCCTTCCACTAGGAGACTCCATCTTCAGAACCTATGGAAGAGGAAGAGGAAGAGGAGGACGACTTGGAGCTCTTTGGTGGCTATGACAGTTTCCGGAGCTATAACAGCAGTGCGGGCAGTGAGAGCAGCTCCTATCTAGAGGAGTCAAGTGAAGCAGAAAATGAAGATCGGGAAGCAGGGGAGCTGCCCACCTCCCCCCTGCATTTGCTCAGTCCTGGGACTCCCCGCTCCTTGGATGGCAGTGGTTCTGAGCCAGGTGCTTACAGTGTCCTCTGAAGACGGGGAGGCTATAGAGGAAGAGGGGAATATAGGCCATGTGGGCAGAGCCGTCCAGGTGTAAAAAAAGCTGTTTGATCTTAAGTCTAAGGGCCTATGAACTAGATAGAAGTAGTCCCAAGGGACTACTACTAATTTCCTTTGCTGCAATCTGATTTCAAATGACTATTTCCTTTGTTCTTTCATACGACTAATACTTATTTGGCACACGTTAGATGCCAGTCATTAATATGGTACTGCTTTTACATTTGTGTGGATAGGTGCTTGATTTTTTTTTTTTAATTTTTATTTATTTATGATAGTCACAGAGAGAGAGAGAGGCAGAGACACAGGCAGAGGAAGAAGCAGGCTCCATGCACCGGGAGCCCGATGTGGGATTCGATCCGGGGTCTCCAGGATCGCGCCCTGGGCCAAAGGCAGGCGCCAAACCGCTGCGCCACCCAGGGATCCCGGTGCTTGATTTTTAAGCCTGGATGGCTTTTGTTTTGTTTTTTATTTATTCATGAGAGACAGAGAGGCAGAGAGAGAAGCAGGCTCCATGCAGGGAGCCCAACAGGGGACTCGATCCTGGGTCTCCAGAATCACACCCCGGCCTGCAGGCGGCGCTAAACCGCTGTGCCACCAGGGCTGCCCTTAAGCCTGTGCTCTGATTTACTATCTGGGAAAGGACAAGAAATAGTTTGTGGGTTGGACGTGAGGGGGAAATTAAAGAAGGGTGGAAATTAAAGAATCAAGTTATTTCCTGGGGAAAGAATTACTGATGAGACTCCTCATGGAGCATCTGGAAGCCAGTTAACTTCTGAACTGTGCTGTTTGGACAGCTTCTGGATGGATTCCTGCATCAGGGACCCCAGTGTGTGGACTGCCTATGAAGAGAGATGGGCTAGATGTCCGTAAGGAACAGACCCTGTTCCTTAGTGCCTGCACTCTTTAGAAGAGTGATCTAATACTCTGCCACTTTTCCTTTCCATCTACCTGTCTTCTCTTCCTCCTTCCCCCACACCACCCTTTTAATCTTTCTTCTATCTTCTTCCAAACATTCTCGTAGAATCTTAGAACTTTGGAACTAGAACCATTAGAGACCGTTGAGTCCAGGGGTTCTCTCTCGTGGCTGTCCATTAGGATTACCAGTAAATTAGACTCTCAGGCTTGGGTATTTTTTAAGCTCCTTAGGTGATTCTAATACAATGTTAGAATTGAAACATTGATCTAGTTCAGTTTTTTTATAGATGAGAAGAAAAGAGATCCACAGAAGTCAGGTGATGTGGGCACTGTTTTTCTTCTTGTTTTCCTCTTTACAGACTTTCCAACATCTACCTGTTGCTCTATGGATTTTCCTTACCTCTACTGTTAACATATAGCCAAGGGATGCCAGGCAGCTTATCTTAGGCAAAAGAGATTCAGTTGTGCACAAACCTCCTGCTCCTGTTTCAGCTCTGTCAGTCAGGCTAAGGGCCGAGACTCACCTGGTTAATGCATTGTTCAAGTTTTCAAGGGAAAATGTTCAAATCATTTTGCTTGATTTGGGGTGATTGTATCAGGTGGGTCATGTGCTGAGTTCTCTTCCCAGCTGTCTGTGAGATGTGTGGTATCGTGGGTACAAGGGAAGCCTTCTTCTCCAAGACTAAGAGATTCTGCAGCGTTTCCTGTTCCAGGAGCTACTCCTCCAACTCCAAGAAAGCCAGTATCTTGGCCAGATTACAGGTGAGAGGCAGTCACTTGGAAGACCCTTCCTGGGGTCCTGGGAGCCCAGACAGGAACAACTAACTGGCTGATGGCAAAGGGCCAAGAAGGCTTGGGAGGAGTTTGCTTGTGACCATCTGAGGTTGTAAGTTTCCTGCTATTTATTGTGTTCTGAAATTCAGAGGGCAGAGGAATCCATTTATGAAGCTTGTTAAATTGCAGATTTCTAGAGCTGCCCTCATTCCCCACCTATACCACTTCCCCATAGTCTGATGTGATTAGTAAGTTTTAAACGAGAGCCTTGAAGGGAATCTGGTGCCCTTAGTCTTTCCCCCATACTTTTATACATACGTGCTCTGAAAGGAAGCTAGGAGACAGGCATATGTTTTAGCAGCCACAGTGGGTTTAGGAAGTTGATGCCTCATCTCTGACTCCATGTCATAGGCAGTCACCTAGAAAGTCTTACTAATCTTTTTCTTTCTTTCTTTTTTCTTTTTTCTTTTTCTTTTTTTTTTTTTTTGAGAGAGCAAGAGAGTACAAGTGGTAAGGGGAGAAAGGAAGAGGGAGAAAGAGAATCTTAACCAGGCTCCACACCCAGCACAGAGCCCAACACGGGCCTCAATCTCATGACCCTGAGATCATGACCTAAGCCAAAATGAAGAGTTGGACACTCAACCGACTGAGCCAACCAGGTGCCCCTATAAATGGAAGGATTCTTAAGAGATGTGTTGTCTAACCCACACATTAGTTGAGAAGTGTGCTGAGGTCCAGAGAAGAATGACTTACCTGAGGTAGTTCTGTTGGAAGAGCAGCTGAACTGGGACTGGAATGTAATCTCAGGTGCCTGACTTTGTGTTGTTTCCTGGTAACTATGGCCACCGTTCATAGCACTGGTTCTCAAACTTGCCTGATTTTTTGTTTAAGATATTATTTATTTATTCATGAGAAACACAGAGAGAGAGACAGAGACACAGGCAGAGGGAGAAGCAGGCTCCATGCAGGAAGCCCGATGTGGGACTTGATTCCAGGACTCCAGGATCATGCTCTGAGCCAAAGGCCGATGCTTAACTGCTGAGCCACCTAGGCGTCCCTTGCCTACTGATTTAACTGGGATGGAGTATGGCCTGGACACGGTGGCTCTATTTTATTTTATGTATGTAATCTTTATACACAACATGGGGCTCAAATTCATAACCCTGAGATCAAGAGTCACTCTCAGGGTGCTAGGGTGGCTGGCTCAGTTGGTTAAGTAGTTAAGACTCCATGCTCAGGGAGGAGTCTGCTTTTCCCCTTCCCTCCACTCTCTCCTTTCTCTCTTAAATAAATAGTCTTTTTTCTTTTTCATTTATTTATTTTAAAGATTTATTTATTATTCATGATAGACAGAGAGAGAGAGAGAGAGAGAGAGAGAGAGAGGCAGAAACACAGGCAGAGGGAGAAGCAGACTCCATGCAGGGAGCCCAACGTGGGACTCGATCCCGGGTCTCCAGGATCACGCCCTGGGCTGAAGGCGGCGCTAAACTGCTGAGCCACCCAGGCTGCCCTTAAATAGTCTAAAAAAAATGTCACACTCCATCGACTGAGCCAGCCAAGTGCCCCTTGGCTTTAGGGACTTTAAAGAGCCCCTAGGTGATTGTAATGTGCAGCAGAGCTTGAGATCCAGCTGCTCTGACATTTATTGAAAATCACAGTGTGCCAGGTCTTTTGCTTAGTACTTCATACAATGTATCTCTCACTTTTGTGAGATAATTGTTATTTCCCTGGTTGTACAGATTTTAGGGCATAGAAAAATCTCTCTCCTTAAGAGCTAATAATAGTATTGTTAATAGCAACAGTTTGGGAGTACTTGCTAAACGTTTGAACTCAGTCCAACCAATGATCTCTTACCTGACTGAGCTAGCCAGGGGCACCTATTTTAAATTCCTATTTTAAAGGCTAAAAATTTTGAGTAACTTACTCAAAGGTCTACAAATGAGATTGAAGAGCCAGGATTTGACCTCAGGTCTGTGTGGAATTTAAACTCACGTTTTTACTTCACTGATTTTTTATTTATTTATTTTTTATTTTTTAAAGATTTTGTTTATTCATGAGAGACACAGAGAGAGGGGCAGAGGGAGAAGCAGGCTCCCTGTAGGGAGCCTGATGCAGGACTTGATTCAAGGACTCTAGGACCACGACCTGAGCTGAAGGCAGACCCTCAACCACAGAGCCACCCAGGTGTCCCGTTTTTTTTGTTTGTTTTGTTTTTTAAGATTTTATTTATTTATGAGACACACACACACACACACAAAGACAGAGACACAGGCAGAGAGAGAAGCAGGCTCCATGCAGGGAGCCTGATGTGGGATTTGATCCCAGGACTCCAGGATCACTCCCTGGGCCAAATGGAGGCACTCATCGGCTGAGCCACCCAGGTGTCCCCCACTTCACTGATTTTTTAAAATAAATTCTCGGAGGGGCACCTGGGTGGCTCAGTCAGTTAAGCATCTGACTCTTGATATCGGCTCAGGTCATGATCCCAGGCATATGAGGTGGAATCTGTGTCAGGCTCCATGCCTATGCTGAGCATGGAGCCTGCTTGAGATTCTCTCTCTTTCTCTGTTCCTTCCCCCACCTGCTCACTCCCTCTCTCTCCCTCTGTCTCTCTCCCCCTCTCCCTCCCTCTCTCTCTAAAAATAAAAATTAAAAAAATAATTATCTGGGCCCTTCTGAATAGTGATTAAATTACAAATTATAGACCAGATTAGTGGCCTTTAACCCTTAGGGATGCCCGCTTGGAGCAACTGATGAAAGCCATGGACCTGCTCCAGAACATTACTTTTTTTTTTAAAGATTATATTTATTCATTAGAGATACACAGAGAGAGGGAGAGGCAGGCTCCTTGCAGGAAACCCAATGCAGGATTCGCCCCAGGGATGGGATCACACCCTGAGTTGAAGGCAGACACTCAACCACTTAGCCACCCAGGCGTCCCACAGAACATTCCTATATGTGTACAAAATATTGACTCCTGACTCCGTTCACAGACCTCTCTGAAACCCACTCTCTCCAATAAATCTCCAGAGGAAGGAGATAGCCAAGAGTTGAAGCCACTAGGAAAAAGTTCCTGGAGGAAGCAAAGGCTGAAAGGATAGAAAAGATAGAACAGGTGTCCCTCGCTGCCCCCCCCCCCCAGCTCCTCTGACCCCATTTCTCCGCTGTTGAACAATAGCTAAATACTGAGAGCCAGGCATAATACAGTAACTCTCATCCTTGCACCCCCCTCTGAGTTAAGATTGTTATTGTTATCCACTTGATTTACAAATGAAGAAACTGAAGAGGTTAAGTAACTGGATAAATCCCAGGATTTAAAGCTAGGCAGTCCAACTCCAAAGCCCTGTTCTCAGCCATTAGGCTTACACACAGGTTCTCCTCTCTCCAGGGAAAACCACCAACCAAGAAAGCCAAAGTCCTGCACAAGGCAGCCTGGTCTGCCAAAATTGGAGCCTTCCTCCACTCCCAAGGGACAGGACAGCTAGCAGATGGGACACCAACAGGGCAAGATGGTAAGACAGCAGAACCCTGGTGCCCAGGAAGCTGCTGGGGGTCGGTGGGAGTGGAGTGCCCTGACTGGGGTGGCCCTGCCTAGGAACCAGGAATGAGAAAGATGAGGCAGCTAGAGAGTGCCCTGGCCCAGGCTCACTGTGGATTACATCTTCCCCATTTGGTAGGTATTGTGGAAATTGCCCTAGGATATCCCTGTAGTCAAAGTTCCAGGACCCTTATTTTTGATAATTCAGAGGCCAAGAATTAGCTTCTTTTGTATTGCTTTTGGCCCTATGGCTTCTGTTCCCCTTGGGCAGTGGAGACCTCTATCTAGTTTGGAGAGAGGTGGTGGAATAAGGAAATGAACCTTTCTCTCTGAGTGTGTATAGAAGATTCTTTTTTTTTTTTTTTTTTTTTAAGATTTATTTATCCATGAGAGACAGAGAGAGAGAGAGGCAGAGACATAGAGGGAGAAACAGGCTCCCTGCAGGAGCCCCATGCAGGACTTGATCCCTGGACCAGGATCACGTCCTGAGCTGAAGGCAGATGCTCAACCTCTGAGCCACCAGGTGTCCCTGTATAGTAGGTTCTAAGCATATAAGCATTAAGCAGCTCTGCTCTAGGTGGTCTGAGTTTCTGACTGCAGTTGAGCTCCACAGGCACGAGGGTTGGAGGGGCCTAGGTGTGTGCCCTTCCCACCCATTCAGATTAGCTGTGGCCCATGAGAGGTTGGGGGGGGGTCTAAGGAATTTAATCCCAAAGGTCTTTGGATTTCCTTCTCTTTTCCGGGGAAGAAAGATCAGACATTTCCCTTGAATGTTTCCTCTACTCCTGAGAGTCTGTCATCCTTTGGATAAGGTCCAGCCCTGTTCTGATGGCCACTGGTGGGACAGGTATCGGGCTTGGGTGGGGAAGGACCGGCTTCTACAGGCTACTGGTGGCTAGGTTCCTGGCAGGGCTGCTGATTTTCAACACTTCCTCTTTCTGCTCTTGCAGCGCTGGTCTTGGGTTTCGACTGGGGGAAGTTCCTGAAGGATCACAGTTACAAAGCTGCTCCTGTCAGCTGTTTTAAGCATGTAAGTGCCCTAGAGATAAGGGGAGGGAGAACTGGGAACCTAGCACTTGCCACACCTCTCATCCACCAGCCTTCCAGGCATTCCAAGCTGGGCATTGGCACCAGGGAGAGAATAGTAATGGGGTCTGGGTGGGCCCAGTCCAGCTTTGCCACTCGTTCCAGTTTACATTTCTTCAGAGTCCTCCCACAAAGCCTCATCGAGGCCTTCTAGCACCCTTGCTTCCCCCCTCTGAGGACCTCACTCTACTTTTTTTTATTTTTTTTTTTTAAGATTTTATTTATTTATTCATGAGAGACACACACACAGAGAGGCAGAGACACAGGCAGAGGGAGAAGCAGGCTCTATGCAGGAAACCCGACGTGGGACTCGATCCCAGGTCTCCAGGATCAGGTCCTGGGCCGAAGGCAGGCGCCAAACCACTGAGCCACCCAGGGATCCCCCCTCACTCTACTTATCCACATAATGGAACTTTGTGCTAGAACTCCTTTTCTTAAAAAAGAAAAAGAACTTTTCTTCTTTCCTCCCCATTATTCCGTGTTTTCCCATTGAAAGCTTGTTCTGAACTGCCCTGGGCTTCCTGGATCTCTTGGGCCCCAGGAGACAGATGTGGATGCCTCCTACAGCCCACCTCAGCACAGAGAAGTGCCAGAAGAGTGAGGCCCTGGAACCCTGAGCCTGGGGCCGAAGGAAGTGCAGAGATGCTGCCTGTTTGTCTGTGGGCCAAAGAACCACCTAGAGCGGCACTCTTGTTTGGTCTCTCAAGCCAGGAAGTAGAGGAGGAGGTCTCTTTACTCTGGTAGTCCTAGTAGGAGTCACATCCTAGTAGCCAGTGAACTCCGGGAGGTGCCGTGGACAGTGGGAAGCTGGGAAGTCTCACTCTTCTCTGCAGTGCTGTCTAAGGCACTCACCTTTCCTAGTGGGAAGCTCTTTGGCCCTGAGTTATCACTGCAGGGGAGTTACGTCATACCTGATTCCATAAGCTCTGCCAAGCCAGCCCATGTGTGCTTGAGTAGCATAGCCATTTCTAGGTTCCTCTGGCCAGAGAGGTGAAATGGGATACCCTGATTAGCTGAAGCCACGATGAGAATGAAAAAAGGTGAATTTCTCCAAAGGAGAAGCAAGGTGCTGTTGGTGCAAAGTGAGGATTAGACATTGGGAAGGCAAGCAAGAAGGGTCTGCTGCTGATGGAGAGCATCTGAAAGAGACTGGTTAGAGAGGTGGAGAAAGAATGTACCAGAAGTAGGGGTGGGTAGACGGCTCCGAGAGCCAGCATGGTGAGAGCCGAGAGACTACTGCCCAAGCCTGAGTGATGATTTAAAGAGGTGATATTTGTGGCGAGCGCTAGGAGGTATTAGGTGTTGTCACGAGCGCACAAACTGGCACGGGTGTGATGTGCCCAAGATGATAGAGTGAGGAGCTGGTCCTGTAAAGACCACTACTCAGGGCTGACCAACTCCAGATGTCTGACCCTTGCACCTGCCCTCCCATCCCGTCCCCTGCACCCCACCCCTCCCCATCCCCGGTGTCCTGCCTTAGCTCTTTGGGGACAGAGGATTTGTCTTGCTCATCTCTTCATCCCTAGTCCCATTCTTGGCTTGCCACACGCAGAGTGTTGTGCACTGAGGTACAGAGAAGGGTGCGATGGCTTACGAGCCCAGCCACTCTGCCCTGTGTGCTCAGGCAGTTCACCATCCCCCTGAATGCTCTCGTGCCCTCACAGGTCCCTCTCTATGACCAGTGGGAAGATGTGATGAAAGGGATGAAGGTAGAGGTACTCAACAGCGACGCCGTGCTCCCCAGCCGGGTGTACTGGATTGCCTCTGTCATCCAGGCCGCGGGTGGGTACTCCTCTGGGCAAGCAGGGCCTGGGTTTGAGAGGGACATGTCTGCACGGGTGGGTAGTATCACAGGCAGAAACTGGCTTCATAAAACAAACAAAAAAGCCCACCACTGGAGTTTCTGCCAGTCCCTTCTTGGGATCCTCCTGCCTTCCCTGGCTTTGAAGAAGCCACAAGGCATGACAAGTTTGGAAACTCCCCCTCTTAAGGTTTTTCCAGGAATGATCAGACTATGGAGAATTAATTCTTACTGCTATGCTATACTGTTTTCTGAGTACGTGGCATGGGTTTGTTTTGGCTGTGACTGTTGGGGACAACAGGGACCCCCTTGCCTGGAAGGATTTCTTAGGAGTCAACTTTAAGGTTGAGCATCCCGCCCTCCCTTACCAGTACCCTTTCCTTCTTTCAGGGTATCGGGTGCTGCTCCGGTATGAAGGCTTTGAAAATGACGCCAGCCATGACTTCTGGTGCAACCTGGGAACGGTGGATGTCCACCCCATTGGCTGGTGTGCCATCAACAGCAAGATCCTTGTGCCCCCTCGGAGTGAGTTGATGAGAGAGAGCAGTACTTGTCGTGGTCCCTGCAGAGCCCTTGGTAGAAGGGGCACCCTTTGTCTTAGGTTAGACCAGAACAGAACCCACTTGCCAGCCTGCTTCCTGTCCTCCCCAGTCTGGGAAGCCCTGTGGCGGATCCAGGTTGTACAGCAGGTTTTGTAATAGGTGATGGCTGGCCTGAGGAGGCAGAAAGAAGTTGCTCTGGCGCCCCCTGTTGGTGGGAGTATTGTTAGTCCGCGTAACCAGGATTCTGCTGTGTCTCCACAGCCATCCATGCCAAGTTCACCGACTGGAAGGGGTACCTCATGAAACGGTTGGTGGGCTCCAGGACGCTTCCTGTGGATTTCCATATCAAGGTCTGGCAGTGACCCCTTTGGGTCTCCTAACTGACCTCCTTCCTGCCCTTCTCCCATTTTCTCTGTCCGTGCAACTCACTGGAGTATTTTCTCAAAGACTTCCTTGCTTGACAGTCTTTAGCAGCTTCACATTTCTCCAGGAATGATGATGGTTGCTTTTGCCTTCCCAACCTAGAGTCAGCCTCCACCCCAACCCAGACTCTGATCCAGCCATGTTGGTCACGTTGCCTTGCCCTCTGTTTGCTACTCGCGATCCTTACCATTGCTCATAGCATTTTTCAGGAACATTCCTTCCATAAATTTTATTAAGTACTTGGCTACAAGGAACTGTGGGAGTACAGGCCCCGTATTCAGGACTCTCCAGTCTGGCAAAGGAAATGAAGTCAAGCCTGGGAGTTATTATAAAATAGCCTTGGTTCTGAACCAGAGGTGTGCCTCTGAATCATCTCTGTGGCTTCTAAGTTTTTTTTTTTTTTTTGTAAGATTTTATTTATTCATGATAGAGAGTGAGAGAGAGAGGCAAAGACACAGGCAGAGGGAGAAGCAGGCTCCATGTCCCCTCCCCTCTCATGCAGGGAGCCCGACGTGGTACTCGATCCCGGGGCTCCAGGATCACGCCCTGGGCCAAAGGCAGGCACTAAACCACTGAGCCACCCAGGGATCCCCTGTGGCTTCTAATTTTAACTTAAAAAAAAATCACTCACATGGTAAAAATTCAAAGGGAATACAAGGATGCGCAGTGAAGACTTCATTTCTCCCACCTCTATATGCCAGACCCTCCTTTGTGGGGCTTGCTCACATAGGGGCCTGGGCTGCATCTGAGGCCTCCAGCCCCCAATGTTCCCACGTTGCCTCGATAAGTGTCACAGCAGCCAGCAGGGGAGTGCAGAGCAGGTGCTGCCATGGCACAGGCGGGACCGGTTCTGTGGCCCGAAGAGGAGCAGCTGTCAAGGAAGGTTTCAAGGAGAAAATGGCATTTGAATTCTACCTTGATTGGGTAGGGTGTGGGTGGTCTGGAAGCCAAAGTGAAAAGTGAAGACGGAATAGATGCTGGGCCACATCTCGTCCAAGGCATCAGATGCCTCGTAAAGAGGTTGCCACTGTGAGTTTTAGCTGACAGAGAGTGGGCCTTTGACGAGGAATAGTTCCAGTACGTCAAGGGAGCCTTCCCTGGCTTTTCCCTAAAGTAGAAATGGTTTTTGCTTTATTTCAATTTGCTGGGTACTGTCCATTTGCTCTTTATTTCTCTATATTTTGCTAATTTATCTTTTCATACTTTGTTCAACAAAATTATAAGCTCTTTCACCTGTATTTTTTTTTTGAGATTTTATTTATTCATGAAAGACAGGCAGAGACACAGGCAGAAGGAGAAGCAAGATCCATGCAGGAAGCCCTATGTGGGACTCAGTCCCGGGACCGCAGGATCACATCCTGAGCCAAAGGCAGACGCTCAACCACTGAGCCACCCGGGTGTCCCCTCCCCTCTCATGATGCCTTGCACCGTGGACAGATTCAGCAGTTGAAAACGAGCATTTGCTCCTTCTCAGCTGGCACTTGTCTGAAGATGAGGCAGATTGTGGGTGGTACAGGCCACTAGCATTATCAAGATGGCCTCTCCTCTGTTTAAACTCCAATGAGAAAAAAAAAAAAAAACAAACTCCAATGAGCTTGATACTGGGGCACCTGGGTGGCTCAGTTGGTTAAGCATCCAACTCTTGATCTCAGGATTGTGAGTTCAGGCCCCATGTTGGGCTCCATGCTGGTCATGGGGCCTACTTAAAAAAAAAAAAATTTTTTTTTTTTTTTTTTTTTTTTTTTTTTTTTTTTATTCTGGGTAGCAGAACATGGTTCCATGTGAACCAGTCAGCAAGCACACGATGACTCACTGTCACATACCCAGTCCTGCAGTGGATACAAAAGCCAGCTGCCTCTGAGGGTTGGGTAGGAAGGATAAAAGAGGGTGAGTTTGTGAAGGCAGCTCTGATCCAAATCCAGTCCAGTTCCTTTGGTGCCTACAGTGTGATAAGTTCTGAGTAAAATGTTGTGAATGAATGGCCCAGCAGCCAAAGTCAGGTGTGTACTGTGTATCTATCAGGTGAGAAAAAACATTGCTCACTAACTCTGTGCCTAGTTCCATGCTTAGAACTGAGACTGTAGAAATGGATCCCCCCAGACCTGGCTCCTGCCCCTACAGAGCTCAGGGTGTGACTGAATAAACAGAGCACTAAAGTGGTGTTGGGCTCTGGGCTGCCCTGGGTGGGTGCAAAAGAAAGGAGTGTGTCAGGAAAGGCTAGGAGGGAGAGGTGGCCCTGAGGGACCCCAACCCAGACCTCACCCTGTGTCTCTCTCCTAAATGGGCCAGTCGATTGGTTTGGATTTGTATTCCAGGCCTTGAGCTGATGTCTGACAGGTCTGTGGTGTAGGACTCTGTCAGCTTTTCCTGGTGGCTGCTTTGTGACCTCGGAGATACTCCCCCTCCTGGTGGGCTTCGAAAGAGCGCCGCTCAGTCCCCGCTTCCCTAGGCTGGGGCTGGTTTTCCCTGGGCTGGAAAAGCCCTACAAAGTTCACTGTTCCCATTTCCCTATCCCAGGCAGGACAGGACTGAAGTCTTAGGGACCAGAAAGAGTCTCCTACCCCCTCATCTGTGGCCTGTCATCAGGGCTCTCTAAAACAGCTTGTGGGCATCTTGGTCACTGTCCTTTGCTGGGTCAAAGTGGGATAGCCTTTCAGAGCTACAGCCCAGTGGGGTCACAGCTGTAATTAGACATATGGAGGCAGATGGGGCCTCAGCTCTCTGGACATGAGCATAGTATGTGCCATCAGCGGGGAGGTGAAGGGGAGTGGGAAAGTGCACGAGGCTGAACACTGGGACCAGTTTCAAGGTCCAGCTCTGGCACCAATGAATCGGGGTGAGTGTGGGCAAGTCACTTGAGCCCTCTGGGGCACCTGTTCCTTAGTCTGAAATGGGTTTTATAATTTCCATTGTACTGACTGGCATTTGGGGGGCACACCTTCTAAGCTGTGTGCTGTCCCTCATCCTGAGGAATTGGGGGCCAAGGTCAGACCTGGTGGGACCTTCCTTGAGTCTATGTCTCATCGGCCTGCTTCCTGACTTAGTGCTGGGTGTGGTTCTGGGCATACCTTCCCTATTCTGTGGTTACAGTTAGGAGATGAAACAGGGAAGTGGGTGGAGGATCCCCAGGACCACAGTGGGCCTGTGCTCTGATCTTGCAGATGGTGGAGAGCATGAAGTACCCCTTTCGGCAAGGCATGCGGCTGGAGGTGGTGGACAAGTCCCAGGTGTCACGGACCCGCATGGCAGTGGTAGACACAGTAATCGGGGGTCGCCTTCGGCTCCTCTATGAGGACGGCGACAGTGATGACGACTTCTGGTGCCACATGTGGAGCCCCTTGATCCACCCAGTGGGCTGGTCACGGCGAGTTGGCCATGGCATCAAGCTGTCAGGTCCGTGGGCAGGGGCAGGAGCATCTGTGTACCCCACACCACCACCACGTGGTGGTGATAACCATCTCCACCATGCGCACGGTGGTACCGAGGCCCAAAGAGGTTGGGTGATTTGACCAGGTCACTGAGCTTATAAGGGTTTTAAACCTATTCGAAGCTGGAGGCTACACGATATGGGAAGTGTCTGGATCTTACGGATTCAGTAGTCCCTACAGAGAGCTCCTGACATATCCTGATCCTGGTCTAGGTGGGTAGTACAGGGTGCCGAGATACAGATTAGAGCACATGCAGGGCAGCCTCCACATTCTGGGGAAGGGAGGGAGGTGGCCCTGTGAGCAGACTGCAACTCCTTTCTCTCTCTTGCTCCCTCTGGCATCTCCCCAAAGAGAGGCGCAGTGACATGGCCCACCATCCCACCTTCCGGAAAATCTACTGTGATGCTGTTCCTTACCTGTTCAAGAAGGTGAGGCACAGCCTTGGGACCTTCTCATCTTAGCCATAGGCCCTTCTCGTCTTGGCCATAGGCCCATCCCAGGCCCCACAACCCCGGGGTGTTCCTTTCCCTTCCCGTTTCCTTCCCAGGCCTATGGCGGATGAGGCCTGCTCCCCCCACCCTCCATCTGGGCCACCCCAAGTTTCCCCAGCTGCCCCATTCCTTTAAGGTTCGAGCTGTCTACACGGAAGGTGGTTGGTTTGAAGAGGGGATGAAACTGGAAGCCATTGACCCTCTGAATCTGGGCAACATCTGCGTGGCAACCATCTGCAAGGTGAGCTTGGGGTAGTCCTGCAGCTTCGATGGTGGATGCTGAAGCCACTGAGGAGGTGCAGAACTCTGCAGTGCACATCCAGCCCACCTCCACTGTGGCTGCTCCGGGAGTACCGGACTTTTGAGTAGGGGTCTTATCTGCTCCTTGCTCAGAATCTGCCTTGGTGTCAGGTCCGCGGCACGTTGGGGAGGTGCTTGCCGAACACCTGGCCTGAGCCCGATCCTGTATCAAGTGTAGGCCCCGCCCTGTCAGCCTCCCTGGAGGCCTTTCCAGTGGCACACGTCCTCTCCTTTGAGTGCTGGCCTACCCAGGACCAATAGCCGTGCTGACTTTGCTGCAGCCAAAGGAGCGGTGACTACCCCGTGGCCCCCCTGGGGACATGCTGATGTGTGTATCCAGCGGGTCTTCTCCAGGCTGGGCCCATGAGCTCGCCTCTGAAAACACTGGGGAGCAAAAAAGGTGTAGTCCCTGTGGGAACAGCATTTGCTATCTAGTGAGGAAGGAAAAGGAACCTTAAGAGGATGGGTCCGGGGGTGCTGAGTGCTCAGCAGAAGCTCAGGGAAGGCTGAGATCTAGCTCGGGTTGGATCCATCCACCTTGTATCCCCACCATAGCCACCTTACCCTGGAATGGGGGTGCAGTTCATGATACCATGGTGTCTGCTCCCCCCCCCCCCAGGTTCTCCTAGATGGCTACCTGATGATCTGTGTGGATGGGGGGCCCTCCACAGATGGCTCAGACTGGTTCTGTTACCATGCCTCCTCCCATGCCATCTTCCCAGCCACCTTCTGCCAAAAGAATGACATTGAGCTCACACCCCCAAAAGGTAAGACTGTCCTCATGGTCAGAGAGGTCAGAGTGTGACCATAGGCCCAGGTTCCTGGCCAAGCCAGACCCTGGGGCTTGGGAGTCTCAGAGTGGTCTGGAGAGGGGTCAGAGCCCCCCAAGGCCAACACCACCAGCCCTGCCACTGGGCCCACTTGGCTCCACGGCTAGCATGTGTCTCGGTGAGCGGAGCTCCCATTTGTTCCTTTGGGCAGTGAACAACCTATACGACAGGACCATGGTCCTAGAGCAGGTACCAGCCTGGAGAGGAGGGAAGAAGGCTGCCAGGGGAGTCTCCAGACTGGGTCCTGACCCAGCAACAGGGGTCCATTTGGCACGTGCTCCTTTCCCCGCACATCTATGTTTTCTGCTCCCCAGGCTACGAGTCGCACACTTTCAGCTGGGACACCTACTTGGAGAAGACCAAATCGAAAGCAGCTCCATCGAGACTCTTTAACATGGTGAGGAGAGCGAGGAAGCACGGGGCCTGGGGCGGCCCTGCCCCCTGTCAGCGGCGTTCATTCCAACCCCCTTCTCCTTCCTTGAGTCTATACTGTGGATGCCAACCGCTTCAGGGGAGAAGTCCCAACCTCTGCCACGGGCATTCCGCCAAACGCTCAAGCCCGGTCCCTTTCCCAGAGAGGCTGGTGCTGGGGAACAGAGGGCAGTGGTCACTGTTAGGGGGCCCTTCCCCACAGGCACTCCCGGCCTACTCCCTCTCCCCGGTTTGGCCCCTGGGGCCAGGATCTGGCTGCCATGGTCACCATTTCTTCCCCCTCCCAGGACTGCCCCAACCACGGCTTCAAGGTGGGCATGAAGCTGGAGGCCGTGGACCTGATGGAGCCCCGGCTCATCTGCGTGGCCACGGTGAAGCGGGTGGTACACAGACTCCTCAGCATCCACTTTGATGGCTGGGACAGCGAGTATGACCAGTGGGTGGACTGTGAGTCTCCGGACATCTACCCCGTCGGCTGGTGTGAGCTCACCGGCTACCAGCTCCAGCCACCTGTGGCCGCAGGTCTGGGCTCTCACGGCCCCAGGGGACCCTCAACTTTCCTTTTCTTTTTCCTTCCTGTCAACTGCTCCCCCTGCCCCGTGCCTACCTCATTCTTTGGCATGAGAGCGATTGGTCTCCTGGACCACTGCTCACTAAAGAGTGGCCCTTGTGTCCCCTGTCCCGCTCCTGACTTGTCTGTCTCCCTCTCCCTCTGGCCTGCAGAGCGCCTTCCTTGATCTTGCCCACTCTGTCATATGCTCGTGCCCTTGTGCACCCAGGTAAACCCCCCAGGTCCCTCAGAGCAGCCCTAGTGACGAGGGTGGGATGAAGGGACAGTTGCTTCCAGTCCCTCCCCCATTCTCACTCAACTTTGGCTTTCCTTCTTGGGGTGTCCCGTGTGTAAGGGAGGCTGAGGGATGGGTAGGTGTCTTGGGATGTGCCTGTACTGTGTCCTCTCAGAACTCTCTTAACCTCTTCCCTCTGTCTTTCAACAACAGAGCCGACCACACCTCTGAAGGCTAAAGAGGCCACAAAGAAGAAAAAGAAACAGTTCGGGAAGAAAAGTAAGTGATGCTCTGAAGAAGCGGCCAGGGCTGGGGTGGGCCTTGGGATCAGCTGGGCCTATATCTCTGGGAGCAGAGGGGGAGTCGCCATTTGGGTAGCACCCTCCATGGTCTGGTCCCTCCATCTCCTCTCCTTTGCCCTTCTGCCTCATCAGGCCCATCAGCCTGTGTCTTAAGGGACTCAGGCACAGATAGGGAGTCTTGAATCTCCGGCAGGGGTCAGGATCCCGAGAAAAAAGCAAGAAACAGTATTTGTAAAGGAGAGAAGGGGGAGGGATCCCCAGCCCTTCTGCCCTGTGGTCAGAAGTCAACGTGACCCCATCGGCAGTGCACAACTGCCTTTTGAAAGTAAGATGGCGGGGGCAGCATCCTTCTCCCCAAGCCTGTCATCCTTCCCTGGGGACCCTCAGGAGTGGAAGCTTCAGGATCATTTCCTTAGGTGGGGCTCCGCTCTTAACAGATCCTGGGCCCTGTGCGGGCTCAGCTTGAGGGGGACAGCAGGTGGAGTGGGGCGGGAGGAGGTAAAGCTAGCCCTCGGAGCTGCCGGCCTGTGGCAGCAACATGCTCTCCATGATGTGGCGCCACCCAGAGAAGAGGTGGTCCGAAACAGGATGGGGAGGAAGCCGGTGCGGTCCCTGGGCAGGATCAGGGTCCGGTGAGGGTATGGAGCTGATCATGTGGGAAGACCTCGTGCCGTCTACACTAGCAGGGCTGGGAAAGTCACTTCACAGGTGAAGAAAGGACTGGAAGAGGGACGGAAGCTCAGCAAGCCTAACTGGGGGGCTTAACCTGCTACTGGAGAGAACCTCCCTGAGCGTCGGCACCCCAGCCCTGAGTGGCGGCATCAGAGCTCACGCTCTGCTCCCCCAGAGTGGCACCTGCCTTCTGCTCACCACTGGAGGACACCCAGCCATCGAGCCCCACATGGATACAGCCCTGTGCTGGGTTTCATTCTGTGTTTATTCAAAGGGAAAAGAATACCACCGACCAAGACCCGGCCCCTCAGACAGGGGTCCAAGAAGCCCCTGCTGGAGGATGACCTGCAGGCTGCAGAGAAGAGCTCATCGGATCCTGTTCCTGAAGAGAGTAAGAGCCTCCCGGGCGGGGTCAAGACAGGGCCGGCCTGCTCCAGTGCTCAGAGGCGGCCCACCTCCTTTCCCACCTGGGCACAGAAGAGGAGAGTCAAGTGTGAAGGGACTTTGCCGGGCACCAAGCAGTCCTCCTTGGACCACTGGGCCTGGAGAGCTTCCCAAACACCCGCCCCCAACTCTGAACGGAGCCGCGCATCTCCAGCCGGGCCCTCTCCATCTCTACTGCCTGCCCCGCGGGGGGAAGGTGCCACTCCCACCTCCCCACCACGTCCTGAGGGCCCCCATTTGTAGGGAGCCAGAGCCCCCTGCCCCTCCCAGGGTTTCACGCACACTCACTCTGTTCTCCCGCCCTCCCCACCTCCCTCCCTCTTTAGTCATTGCTGTGCGGGTGAAGGAAGAGCATCTAGACATGGCCACGCCCGACAAAGCCCCGAGTCCAGAGCTTCCCGTTCCCATCGAGAACATCAAACAGGAGACAGACGACTGAGCCTTCCCCACCAGCCCGGGGCTCCTCTGTTGCCACCACCCCTTCACCCTGCTTTAGTGTGGAGATGAGCCTTTTTTGCCCAAGTCCTGCCAGGTGCCGTGAGGGCCAGGCATCAAAGGACCTCTGCCCTCTGGCCAGGCCTCTGTGATTTGTCTGTGAGCGACTCCTCCTCCAGCTACACTTCCCAAAGCTCTTCTTACAGTACCCCCTCCACACCGTACCCCTCAACTGCCATGGGGTAGAGGGCTGCCCCCAGTCACACTGGAAGACAAGTTAGTGAAGCGTGTGTGTCCGCGAGCAAGTCCTACAATAAAGGCCTGGAGCAGCTCTCGAGGGGGAGGCAGTTGCAGGTTGGGTGGGGAGCGATGTGGTGGGGGCCTAAGAGCAGCCTTTCACCGCTGGGGTTGGCGCTCTCCTAGCACCCTAGGGAGGTCAGGGAGCCCCGCACAGGCACCCAGCTCTGGCAGGCAGCTAAAATGGCAGTGAGGAGGCAGGTTCTGGTGATGCAGGAGGTGGCCTTACTTAACCTGTTTTCTCTGTTGGCCTGAGTCCGGCCCCCATTTCCTAAAGGGAACAGTGGAATAGAGGTGGGGTCTGCCCCTGGCTGGGGGCTTGCAGGAACCTAGGGGGAAAGGGCACGCAGTCCCCCGTGTCACTTGGGGAGGCCTGGTGGTAGAGGGAGGCAGCAGGACAGGAGGGCGAGCCGGCCGTGCTGTGAGGGGACCCCAGCTGGAAGGGAGACCACAGCCAGCCTGTGCTTAACCTGCTCTGAGCCCAGCGTGGCAGGGGCCTGGCCTCTCACCCCCTTCTCCCTGTTAAGCAGGGTCTGAGGCAGTCCTGCCCCAGGGTCATGGGGCAGCAGAGTGGCCAACCCTGCCGGCTGAGGTGGCCCTAAGGGAGCCCCTGGAGGAAGGGAGAAGAGGGTGACAGGACACACCTCCTGGCTCCCTGGCCCTAACTGGCCACCCTCCTTTCTGAAATTACGTCCTAGAAGCTCACCTAGCATCTTCCCAAATTTCAGTTGCTTTTATTTTTCCAAGTTAGTTTCCTTGGAAACTACCCTCTCTCCGTCCTTCCAGTAACTTCCTGGAATGGAAGATGGAGGCAGGCTGACCTTTCTTTCCTGTCTGGGTGGAGACGTGCTGCCAGTTGGATCCCCATATTGTCCTTTAGGGGGTGCAGCTGTGCTGCTCTGGGTGTCTGGCCATGTTCTCTGGGCCTATCTGCCACTGCTTGTGCGTTTGCCCAGGACCCGGCTGTTTGGTGTTACCCAGAGACGGGGTGACCAGCCCACCGGAAGCTGGTCTCCCTCCAGTCACTCCTCCCAGAGAGAACTGGATCCTGGCTCCTTTGCTGAAGGCACTAGTGAGCCCCACACGGTATAGAAACCAGGCTCAGAGTGGTGTGTTAGTGCAGCCTGAATTCCCCAAAAAGTGATGAGGTTTGGGTCACAGTGAAGATCTAGGACAGGGGCCGCGCTCATCCTGCTGCTGCTCACACGTATACCCCAGGCCTGGGCGGTGGAGGCCAGTAGCCTCAGCCCCCAGTGTGCCACCGGCAGAAGCCACTGCATTGTGCCCAAACCCCTAGTGGTTCGGGGATCCAGTTCTGACCATGGAGCTTCTGGAAAAACTTGGGACTTTGTGGCATTGCAACCTTCTGTTCCTTCTCCCTGAATGAACAAATGATGCCGCCACAGGCCATGGTAAGGATGGCAGGGTCAGAGGACAGGCCAGCTGCCATCCCAGCCCTCCACGGGCTGCCCAGGACTTCCTGGAGTTCGTCAGGTTTTTGTTTCTTAGAGCTGAGTGTCTTCTGACCTGTCGCCCATAGGGTCAGTTATGAAGGCTGGGTTCACACGCAAGAACAATGAATAAATGTCCTCCGCTGAGCGCCCTGTCTCCATAGCAACCACATGCTGGGTTACCCTCATTTATGTTTCTGCTGTTGCCCCTGCAAGACCCGGAGGCTGAGCCTGTGCCTGGTCTGCCGCCGCAGCCTGGTGCTCAGCCCGGGTAAATGTGTGACCTGAAAATACAGAACTTGGGTGGCCAGGGCTAGAAGATCTACTTGATTCATCACAGATGGAACCGTGGGCCTCTGGGAGGTTTTCGGTCAGGGCACAGGATCCACTTTGGACTCACTTGCCCTCAGAGGGAACCCGAATGACCTCTTCCACTCCCCGTGCCCGCTGCTCAGTGACCTGCAGTGGCTCCCTGGTGCTGACTGAACCAAGCGCAAATGCACACCCCTCTCCTTACTGCCACCCAGGCTAGACGCTCCACTCCACTCCAGGGGTGGGGGAAGCAAGGGAACTGCCGTTTGTGAGGGCCTCGTGTGCCAGGCACTTGGGTAAACACAATCACACAGTTCATCACAGGAACCCTGAGGTCCGTGTTGACTTCATTTTATGGGGGAGAAAAAGGCTTATCAGAATTCAGTAATTTATTTGCTTAAATTCACAACTGTTAAATGACAGCAGTGGGATTAAACCCAGGGTGGTCTGCCCTGTTACCACCAGTAAGTACTCTTCCTCATTCATTCATTCGTTCATTCATTCTCCTTCCTGAAAGCATCTCCCACATGCCAGACACCACCCTGGAGGTCAGGGCCTCAAAAGAGTGATGCATGCGCGGTCCAGCCATGGCTTGAGCAAAGTGAGCATGCCCAGAATGGGGCCCGGGGCCCTGTGTGATCCTGGAGGTCACGGTCCTCTTTTTTTCTTTTCTTTTTTTTTTTTTTTTGTAGGCTCCATGCCCAACAGGGAGTTGAGATCGAGAGCCGCATGCTCTACCAACCCCAGGGCCCCTGTCTTTCAATTCCTTTGTATCCCTGGCAGGAAACTGCCACTTTCAACAAACATGAAAAACCCTTAATTCTAGGGCTAGCCACCATGCCACGGAGGGTTGGTTGGGGGTGGGGGAGGTCTTTTAACGGAAGCCCTGGCCTGCACCTGGACCCATCAGAGCGGCTGCCACTGGGCCAACAGCATCCACACGAGCTCCCTGGGGCTGCTACTGTGGGGAGACCACGGACGCTCTTCAGCCACACAAGCACCCACTGAGGTTAATGCCATTGTCGATGATGCTAACTCCAGATGTGACTTCTAAGGCACCAACTGCTCACCTTCAGCTTGGGGTCTTTTGGGGGGTTCCTCCCAGCCTGACAGGGAACACGTATGAATTGGATTCCCCCTCTCCCCTCAGAATGAGACCTTACTTAGAAATAGGGTCTTCACAGAGGTAATGACATCAGAACATGGTCATTAGGGTGGGCCCTAATCCAACAGGACTCCTGTCCTAGAGATTTGGACTGCCATCCAGCAGGAAGATGGGAAGGAAGTCAGCCAGGGGGTGCAGTTGTGCTGCCACAAGCCAGGAAACCTCTGGGGCCACTGGAAGCTGGCAGAGCCTCAGAAGGATCTCCCCTACAGCCTTCAGGGGGAGCATAGCCCTGGGGACGCCATGATCTCAAACTCCTGAGGACAGGAGACAAAGATGTCTGTTGTCCAAAGCCACCCAGCATGTGCTTCTTTACAGCGGCCCCTGGGAACTAACACGCCATCTGATGGTCCCCAGGCACCCCAATCTTCAGAATGCAGGTCCAGAGACAGGCTGAGCCCTCTCCTGGTCTCACCAGAACCCACTTTTCTGTGTTTTCCCACTCAGGACCGGCCTCTCCCTAGAGACCCTCCCTGTGCCCTCCCAACCCAGCAAGGGCGCCCAGATCCCGCTCACCCTTCACTGCGTGCTGCACAATGTTGCTACAGCCGAGGGCTCAAGTGTGTGAACATAAACCTCAGGCAGGTGACGCAACCACACGGGGCAGGGTTGATGGGCAGCAGGAGGCGGCGGCCACAGCGCCTGCACCTCTGCTCTTTGTCCCGGGGTGAGCCAGGCCCTTGAGGTCGGGAAGTGATGGAACCAACGATCGAGCAAATATGGTAACAGCGGTGCTGTTTTTAGGGACACGTTGGGTCCAGGTATTCTGTGGCTTAGCGGAAAGGCCACCGTCCCACAGGATGAGACGGTGTGGTCGTTTCCTTACAATCCGCTGGGCCCAGCCAGAGGTGGGGAAGTGAGGAGGGCGGACAGGCAGTAGGAATGGAAGCAACAGTCATTGCCCAGATTTAGAACCACATGAGTTAGGACCAAGAGAAGTCAGCCCTGCTGCCCCTGGTGCTCTGGAACCTGACCCACCACCGAGGCCTCCCCCACCTGCCCTGACGCCAACCTTGTCTGCTGTCCACCATCTGATCTTCATGGGGTCCTCCTGGCACTGGGTCCGGAAGCGGGCATCTGCTTGGCCTTCCTGGCAGCCCAGCCTGGGCACATTTCAAAGACCGCAGTCACAGCCTTCACCCTCTGGCCGTGGGCACTGGGAGGGGTGGCACAGGTGGCCCCCACACGCAGGTTCAGCCCAATGAGCCACCTGAGGAGAGGAGAGGATTCAGAGAACCCACTGTCCTGAGCCTTCCTGCCTGGAGTGAGCAAGGAGGTCTTCGGGAACTGGGGGGGCAGTGGAGCCTGGTGGGTGAGGGCAGACCCTGGGGGGAGCCCTGGCTCAGCCCCTCACCAATTAGGGGACCCTGAGTGAGTCACTTCAATCCTCTGATCCCTTCTCTGTAAAAAGGGTATAGTAATAGTAATAAATAGTTACAGAGGGCTTAGGGTGCTCCAGACCCTATTCAAATTTGGGTTGGCTAGCTGCCAGTGTGCCCCTCACAGAGAACCCCCATGAGGTGCTATACAGCCCCTCCCCTCCCCTTTACAGGTGAGGGAATGACACAGAGCAGTCAGGAGGCCCAAAGCTGGTCAATCACAGAGCAGGATCTGAGCCCAGCTCTGCTGGACTCCAGGGTTCTTGTTGAAATTAATTAAGCAATTAAATTACTTCTGATGAAATTAACAAAGTGCACACAAATATTAGGTTGCACCTCACTAGCCTGGGAGGACCGCATTCCCACTGCACAGGTGAGGGAATCCAGCCCCAAAGAAGTCCACCCCAAGTCCCATGCACTTTTGGCTCCCTGGGGAGTGGTCACTGGCTCTGGCAGGACCCTCCCCTCTGGAGGTGTTCAGCTGGCGCATGGGGGGCGGGGGCAGAGGCTCGATTGACAGCAGCTGCTGGACCCAGCTGGGGTGGGGGCGGTCCCATGAAAGTACCCACCTGTGCAGCGGGAGCAGCTGGCAATCACAGTGGAACGGATTGCCGCTGAGGTCGATGAGCTCCAGCTGGCTGAGATGGGGCAGGGCAGGCATGGCCCGCAGCTGGTTCTTCTGCAGGTGCAGGCTCTGGAGCCACGGCCCCAGGCCCGAAAACGCCCTGGAAGAAATCTGCAAGGAGACGCCAGGCCCGTCTCACTGGCTAGGCCTGGGAGGTACCCCGTGCTCCCCCGCAGGAGAGAGCCCAAGGTGGCCCAGGCAGGAAGGGCAGGGCTGGGACAGAAGCCCTGGTTGGTCTAACCCTGAAGTGCCTGCCCCTTGCATGTCACCTGGACGCGGGCCCTTGGTTCTGCTGTGCCTGAGCATGCCCCCCGCCCCTGCTCCAGAGTGACAAATCCCCTTGGTGGCTCCTGCTCTGCCCCCAAAGTGCACAAGCAGCCCATGGACACACTTCCTCCTCACCGCCCCCCCCCCACCCCGTGCTCCAGCAGGCCTCTCCGTGTGCCCCTGGCACCCGCCTGGTCGGTCAGCACACCTGAGCTCCCTGCTGGTAGGCATCATCTCTGGCTCATCCCAGGGTCACCACGCCCGGCCCCAGGCCTGATTGTGGGGGCAACGGTGCTCGTGGGGTGCGTGCTGCGTGGGGCCTCATGCTGCCTCCCCCATCCCTAACACTCCTGTGCCCACCTGCTCCAGGCCGCTGCTGTTGAGGAAGAGGTGCTGCAGTGACCCGCCCACAGGCCGGAAGGCCCCATCTGGCAGGGCTCTGAGCGGGTTCCCTGAGAGTTGCAGTTCCAGGAGGGTGGGCAGCCCCTCCAGGGCCATGGTGGGCACCCCCTGCAGCTGGTTCCTGTCCAGGTACAGCTTCTCCAGGTCCGGAGCAGGGCCTATGGCACCAGGGGAAACGTGAGAGATGCGGTTGGCGCTCAGGTAGAGCCAGCGTAAGGCCTGCGAGCCGGCCAGGTCCCCGGGTTCGAGGCGCTCCACGGCGTTGTGCTGCAGGTGCAGGGAGAAGAGGCCGGGCAGGGCGCGCAGGGCGGCCCCGGGCACCCGCTGGAAGCGGTTGCGCTCCAGGTACAGGTAGGCGAGGCGGGGCGCCCCCTCCAGGGCGGCGGCGCTGAGGCCTGTGAGCCGGTTGTCGGAGAGGTAGAGGTAGACGAGGCTGGCCAGCCCCGCCAGGGCGCCCGCCTCCAGCTCGGCGATGCCGCAGTGCTGCAGGTGCAGCGACACCAGGCCGCCCAGGCCTGGGAAGGCCGCCGGGGGCACCGAGGGGAAGCGGTTCCACCTCAGGTCCAGCAGCTGCGTGTGGCTGGGGAAGCCGCGGGGCACGGCCCGCAGGCCCCGGCTCTCGCAGCCGCTGTGCCGGGACTCGGAGGCGCACACGCAGCCCGGCGGGCAGGGCGCCGCCGCCCCGTCCTCCCCGCGCCCCGGGCCGCCTGGAGGGGTGCGGGCCCACGCAGCGGCCAGTTCCTCCTCCTCCTCGGCGCCGCCCGGGCAGCGCAGGTCCGAGGGCCGCAGGGCGTCCAGGGCCTCCCCGCCGAGGCGCCGCGGCCCCCTGCACGCGCCGTCCGAGCGCACCCGCGCCCGCGCCAGCCACTCGAGCAGCGGCCGGGCGCGGCAGCCGCACCACAGCGGGTTCCCGTGCAGCCGCAGCCGGCGCAGCTGCCCCAGGCCCTGCAGCGGCGGCACGGTGTCCAGCTGGTTCCCGCGGAGGTCCAGAGTGTGCAGGCGCGGGCAGCGGGCGAAGGCCCTTGCATCCAGGGCCTGCAGGGCGCCGTGCTCCAGCGTCAGCTCTCGGAGACCGGGCAGGGCCAGCCCGTCCTCCTCGCCCACGTAGGTGAACGGATTGTGGCCCAGCTCGAGCCGGGCCAGCGCCCGGGCCTGGGACAAGGCCGGTCCCGGCAGCGCCTGCAGCTCGTTGTGCTGGAGGCTGAGCCGGCGCAGGGCGGGCAGGCCAGCCAGGGCCTCGGGGTCCAGCACGCTGAGCGCGTTGTGGGACAGGCGCAGCCAGCGCACGCACGGCAGCCCCTGGAAGGTCATGGCCGGCAGGTAGACCAGCGCGTTGTGGGCCAGGTTCAGGGTGGTCAGCGCACCCAGGGCCCCGAACGTCCCCGGCCGCAGCTCCTCCAGCACGTTCCTCTCCAGCTCCAGCCGCTGCAGGGAGCCCAGCCCGTCCAGGGCCTCCTGGGGCAGCGAGCTCAGGCGGTTGGAGGCCAGGTTGAGGATCTGCAGGCGGCCCAGGCCCCGGAAGGCGCCCTCGGCCACCAGCTCCACCTGGCAGTGCCGCAGGTCCAGGTGTGTCAGGTAGGGCAGGTCCCGGAAGGCAGCTGGGGGGATGACCTTCAGCAGGTTGCCTTGGAGGTCCAGCCGCTGAGTCAGCTGAGCAGGGAGGGGGTGCCGAGCAGCAGTGAGGACTACACCTTTGCACGCGCCATTCCCCACCCCAACTTCTCCCCCTCACCTTTTCCTCATTCTCTTCATCCTGCTCCCCGACACCTCCTCCAGTAAGCCTTCCTCCCTCACCGCTTGGGCACCTTTCACTTTGAACTGTCGCTGCCTGTTTGCTTTCTCTCTTTCCCCCCTAGCTCTCGACCCCACGAGCAGAGACCGTATCTTATTCCAGTCTGTATCCCCTGATCTCTCTAGTTCTCTCTCACACGGTTTGTCATTAATTCAGTATTTATCTCATAGGTCACTGACTTGTTCCAATCGCATAGAATATTAAACAGGACTGTTATGCCATTTGACAGATGTGAAGACTGAGGCTCGGAGAGGAAAAGTGACTTGCCACAGTCCCCCAGCCAGGCAGTGGCTGTCCTCCCTGCCCCCCTTACCCTGCTGACCTCGGGGACGGCGTCTGGCACCTCCGTGAGGTTCTGGTGCCGACAGGCAACATGCCGCCTGGGATTGTCACAAACGCATGTTGGTGGGCAGCGTTGGGCAGCTGCAGGCCAGGCTGGGCCCAGGGGCAGCAGCAGAGGAAGCAGCAGCACCAAGGAGATGCTCTGGGGCCTGGGAGAGGGAGAAGCGGTCAAGCCCGGCTCCTGTTTCCTGGGCCCCTGAGATGTTTCCTCCTTTGGCCCCAGAGACACTGTCATTGCCCTGAGCCTCAGGACGCCCCGTGCAGTGAAGGCTCTATTGTGAGCCTTGTTTAACACTGGGGGAAACTGAGGCTCAGGCGACCTGGCGAGCCCCTTCAACAGCCTGCCCGGGGGCTCCGGAGGCCTTGCTGAGTGCAGGGATGACCCGAGGGCGCAGAGCGCATGCCCAGGCTGCGGTTTGGCTCCTGGGCCCCGGGGGAGGCGACACAGCAGCCAATCCTCAGACCACGTGGTGCCGTTTCCACGGTGGCAGGGAGCACAGTGGCACCCGCTGTGAGAAGACAGCCTGCAGCCAGTGGGGACCCAGGCCGGGCCGAGTGTGGAAGGCCAGGTTTGGGGGGGCCAGGAATTGTGGGGCCCGAGAGGCTCGGAGCCCCGCTGGCAAGTGAGCCGGGGGCCTAGGCCTCTGTTCCCCTTCTGGCCATCCTACACCATCCTGCGGGGCCGGACGGGCCGGAGAGCGAGGGGGGCGCAGCCCGACCCCGGCCACCGTCTACCCCCTGCCTCCCAGCACCCCTTCCCCGGTGGACCCCTTCACCTCGCAGCCGCCGCCTGTTGCTCTCAGGGGCTACTGCCCCCCCCCCCGCGCTCCCGGCTCCCCCACCCTCGGCTCCCCACCACCAGCTGAGCCCACTTTCCAGAAATAGACGGGCTACCGACACCTCCAGCGTGTCCCCGCTGCCTCGGGTGGAAAGTCGGGGCCCCTGACCCCACCTGGGGTGTGCTCACTCTCCCAGGGTCACCCTGGCTCCCCACCAACCACACGGACGACAGAGCTTCCTCCCGCTGGCGGCACCGGCAGCTCCTGCCGCAGCTCGGGCCGCTGCTCGGGCTCCTTCCCTGTCCCCCTCCCTCAGTCTCCTCACTGGTCGCCGTCCCCGGTCCCCTCAAGGCCCCCTCGAAGGCGGGGCTGCCGGCACTGCCAGAGCCCGTGGTGGGGCCGTGGGGACGGGTCCCTCGGGGACAGGGACGGTGTCGCGCTCAGAGGCCTGCTGGGCTCTCGGACCAGCCCCAAAGGGCGCGCCCCCAGCGGCTGCTGGAGCAGCGGGCTGCCTGCCCCACCTTCCTCGGAACCCACCTGGGGGACCCCCTCGGAGAGTCCGCCCCTACAGACCCCCTCAGAGGCCCGGAGAGCGGCGGGGGGCTCGCCCCGGCCCCCACACTCACCCCTCCATGCCGCCGCCTCGCTCAGCCCGCCGCGGGAGCCCCCCCTCTGGGCCTGCAAGCCCGCAGCGACGGGCTGAATGGCGGCATTGTGGGCAGCCGGGGCTGGGGGGGCTGGGGGGGGCTGCGGCAGCGGCAGGCTCAGGGCCCGGATCGGGTGCCAGGCCTCGAGCCCAGCCTGCACAGCAGCGCCTGGCCACCTGGTGGGGAGGGGGGCTGGGGGCCCGGCCCCTGCCCCCATGAGCCTGGAAACGCAGTAACTAGCTCAGCGCGGGGGGGGGGGGGTGTGTGTGTGGCTGTGGGGGCCCAGGTAGGTCCCGGGCACATAGCTCACGCTCACGAACACTTGACTGTGCCCTCCTTACACACGTACATCGTTGAACACTGTACATACGATATTCCATATTTGGCCTTTTTTTTTCACTCAGCAACACATTATCCAGTGATCCTGGTTGATCCGCCTTAGTCATGTTCGTTTTAACTGCTGTGTAATATTCCATTGTACACAGGTGGTGACTCTACTTACCCACTAATCCTGGAGATTTTGGTTGCCCCCAACTTTTTTTTTGTTTTGGGGCCTCCATTTTGTTACAAATTGCAAAACAACATCCAAATCCTTATCTTCTTCGACACATGTACATTTGGAAGAAATGCAACAGGGGCACCTGGGTGGCTCAGTCAGTTGGGTGACTCTCACCTCAGGTATTGATCTCAGGGTAGTGAGTTCAAGCCCCACATGGGGCTCCACGCTGGGCATGGAGCCTACTCTTTTTTTTTTTTTTTTTTAGCATTTTATTTATTTACTCATGAGAGACACATAGAGAGAGGCAGAGACACAGGCAGAGGGAGAAGCAGGCTCCCCACCTGGAGCCCAATGCAGGACTCGATCCCGGAACCCGGGATCACCACCTGAGCTGAAGGCAGATGTTCAACCACTGAGCTACCCAGGTGCCCTGGCATGAAGCCGACTTAAAAAAAGTTTTTAAAAATGCAACAGATGGGGGATCCCTGGGTGGCGCAGCGGTTTGGCACCTGCCTTTGGCCCAGGGCGCGATCCTGGAGACCCAGGATCGAATTCCACATCGGGCTCCCGGTGCATGGAGCCTGCTTCTCCCTCTGCCTATGTCTCTGCCTCTCTCTCTCTGTGTGTGTGACTATCATAAATAAATAAAAAAAAAAATAAAATAAAAATAAAAAAAATAAAAAGGATATATCCCAAATCCACCCCCCTTAAAAAAAAAAAAGGGATCCCTGGGTGGCTCAGCGGTTGAGCGCCTGCCTTGGGCCCAGGGCATGATCCTGGAGATCCAGGATCGAGTCCCACATCGGGCTCCCTGCATGGAGCCTGCTTCTCCCTCTGCCTGTGTCTCTGCCTCTCTGTGTGTCTCTCATGAATAAATAAAGTCTTAAAAAAAAAAAAACCTTAAAAAAAATAAAAAATAAAATTTTAAACGCAACGGTTCATGGTAACCATAGCAAACTTTTCTACATCCTGATAGTTCAGATACATGTTTCCGGTGGATTTGTATCTGTCGTTACTCAGTTTGCTTGGATATGTTCTTTTTTCAAAGCAGAAATAGTGCTGTACCAGACTTGTGCATGTCCTTTACTTCACTCAGCCAATTTCATGTCACTGGCATCGCAGTGTGTGTACTCTTTGTTTTTTTTCCATTCAACATTGTTTGCGAGCTTCCCCTGTGATGCGTATTTTAAAAATTTGTTTTATTTTTATATAGCATTTCAGCACTCCATCCCATAGATATTCCACAACAGTGGCATGGGGAGAGGCAGGAGCGCCATCTGCCCCCAGTGCAGGCAATAAGGGGGTGTGCGGTCGTCGGGGAATTCTTTTTTTCTAAAGATTTTATTTATTTATTGAGACAAAGAGGCAGAGACACAGGCAGAGGGAGAAGCAGGCATCATACAGAGAGCGTGATGTGGGACTCGATCCCGGGTCTCCAGGATCATGCCCTGGGCTCCAGGCGGCGCTAAACCGCTGCGCCACTGGGGCTGCCCCTCGTCGGGGAATTTTAAACGCAGTGGGACCTAGTTGTTTTTTTTTTTTTTTAAGATTTTATTTATTTATGAGAGAGAGAGGCAGAGACACAGGCAGAGGGAGAAGCAGGCTCCATGCAGGGAGCCCAATGCAGGACTCGATCCCGGGTCTCCAGGATCACACCCTAGGCCAAAGGCAGACGCTCAACCGCTGAGCCACCCAGGGATCCCTGGTTTGCTTTTTATTAACATGTGCTAGTGATTCTAAACACTGATACTCAAATATTCCTCCCTGCTTGGGTGAATCATTCTCACCTCTGCCTTCTTGGTACCACATGGGTGCAGTTAATCCCTTCCACTCCTGACGGACATTTGGGTTGTTTCCAGGGTGGGGCTATTCTGAAGAGGGCTGCTTACGTCTTTTGCACAGCTGTCTCTGTTGGGATAGACCTATGGATGGAACTGCTGACCACAGAATATGTTTATTTTCAGCTTCAATGGATACTGCCAGTTTCGCAGCCTTTATACCAATTAACACTGTCCCCAGCAGTGTAGGAGCCCCTACCTCTGTTCTCACCAATGCCTGGTATTTTCCATCTTGCACTTTTGCCATCCTATTGAGGTATAATAGCATCACCCGATAATTTTAATATGCGTTTCTCTAAAGACTAACCAAAGTAAGCCCCTTTTCATGTGGTTTTGTGTGAAGTCCCCATTTGAACCTTTTTGTTCATTTTTCTAATGAGTTGTCTTATTTATTAACTTGCAGAGATTCTACATATTCTGAATTATTAAAAAATATATATTGAAGGGGCACCTGGCTGGTTGAGTCAGTGAAACATGTGACTCTTGATCTCAAGGTCATGAGTTCAGGTCCCGCACTGTGTGTAGAGATTACTTAAAAAATTAAAAAATAAAAAGCTATCGGGATGCCTGAGTGGCTCAGCAGTTTAGCATCTGCCTTCGGCTCAGGGAGTGATCCTGGAGTCCCAGGATCGAGTCCCATGTCGGGCTCCCTGCATGGAGCCTTCTTCTCCCTCTGCCTGTGTCTCTGCCTCTCTCTGTGTCTCTCATGAATAAGTAAATAAAATCTTAAAAAAAATAAAGAAGATCTGTCAATAAGGGAGTAAAAAGGCATCAAGTCACAGAAAGAAAATAATTGCAATATGTACCTTACGTGTTTTTTAAAGATTTTATTTATTTGAAAGAGAAAACAAGTGGAGGGAGTGGCAGAGGGAGTTGAGCAGAGACCCTCCTCAACATGGGGCTCAATCCCAGGACAAGACCATGACCTGAGCTGCAGGCCAACACTTAACTGACTGAGCCAGCCAGGTGTCCCTATAGTGCTTTTTTTTTTTCTTTTTATAAGACTTACTTATTTTAGAAAGTGAGTTCCAGTGAGAGAATGAGCAGGAAAGGCTGAGGGAGAGGGAGAGAGACCGTGGAGCCCAATGCAGGGCTTGATCTCAGGACCCTGAGATCATGATCTGAGCAGACACCAAGACTCAGACACTTAACCAACTGTGCCACCTGGATGCCCCCCGTGATGCCTTTTGGTAAACAAAAACCTGTTATGGCTACACAGTAGCCATTGTGTGGATACCCTACAATGGTAAATAAACCAAGGTTAAATGCAGATTCATGTATCACTTTTTCTTTCCTCCAAGGTCTTTAAGATATCCACCTACACTAATTCCTAAAAGATCAGTTCTGTTTTTAACATTTAGAATTTTAAAAATTGTGGTAAAATGTACATGACCTAAAATTTACAATTTTAACCATGTAAGTGTACAATTTAGTGGCATGAAGTGCATTCACAGTGCTGTACAAACCATTACCACAGCCCAGCCTATTTCCAGAATCTTTTCATCATCCCAAATGGAAAAATTCTACACCCAACAGACAATAACTCTCCTGTCTTCTCCCAGTCCCTAGTAACCTCTTTTCTAGATACCTCTGATCAGTGCAATCACATATTACTTATCCTTTCACGTCTGGCTTCTTTCACTGAGCACGTTGCTTCAAGATTGACCCATGTTGTAGCATGTGTCCAAAGGTCATTCTTTCTATGGCTGAACAGTACTCCATCGTGCCTGTGTGTGTGTGTTTAAAGATTTATTTCATTGATAGAGAGAGCATGAGCAGTGGGGAGGGGCAGAGAAAGAGGGAGAAACTCAAGCAGACTCCTCGCTGAGTGTGGAGCCCAACATGAGACTCGATCTCATGACCCAAGGTCAGACCTGAGCTGAAACCAAGAGCTGGACGCTCAACTGACTGTGCCACCCAGTATGTGTATACTGATCACATTTTATCTGGTTCAGACCTGTCAGTGGGCACTAGGTGGCTTCCACCTCTTGGCTATTGTAATGCTGCTGTGCGCATGGGCGTACAGGTATCTGCTGGGGTCCCCGCTTTCCCTCTTGGGTACACATACACTGGAAGTGGGAATGCAGGCAGTTGGAAGCCCCCTTTCTTCTACCTCTTGTCTCATTCTCTTCCCTCTCTCCCTGCCAGAGGCACTTTCCTGACGTAGTATAACTTCACTATAATACATGGCTTAAAAATTATAACTATAAACAGTACATACTGTTTTTGCAAACTTGTTTTTTTCGCTCAACATTTCCAAAGTTTATTCACATGAATGCAGACAGCCCATGCATCTGGTGGATTCACTTAACTACGGCATTTAAAAAAAGGTTCTTTTTAAGGGCGCCTGGGTGGTTCAGTCTGTTAAGCATCTGCCTTCAGTTCAGGGCATGATTGCCAGGTCCTGGGATCAAGCCCCGTGTCACACACCTGCTCAGTGGGGGGGAGTCTGCTTCTCCCTCCCCCTGCTCATGCTTGTGATCTCTCTCTCCCCTACCTCTGTTCTCAAATAAGCAAAATTTTATTTTTTAAAAATCAGAAATTTTTTTTTAATTTTTATTTGTTTATTTATTTATTTATTTATTTATTTATTTATTTATTTATTTATTTATTTACGATAGTCATACAGAGAGAGAGAGAGAGGCAGAGACACAGGCAGAGGGAGAAGCAGGCTCCATGCACCGGGAGCCCGACGTGGGATTCGATCCCGGGTCTCCAGGATCGCGCCCCGGGTCAAAGGCAGGCGCCAAACCGCTGCGCCACCCAGGGATCCCAGAAAAAAATTTCTAAAAAATTTTAAGTAATCTCTGTACTCAACGTGGGAGTTGAACTCACAACCTTGAGGTCTAGAGTCACATGCTCTTCCGACTGAACCAGCCAGGCTCCCCATTGCTGCAGCATATTATCTCACTGCGTGCACATGCTGTGAGATAATATGCTATAATTAATCAAATTTTTCCTTAATGGACATTTAGGTTATTAATTTTCTGGAATCTTTCATGGAACCGTCCTTGTAACTTGTCACCTTGTGCGTGTGTACAACAGTTCCTTTAAGGTAGCTCCTTAGAAATGGAATTTGGGGGGCAGCCCACATGGCTCAGTGGTTTAGTGCTGCCTTCAGCCCAGGGCGTGATCCTGGAGATCCAGGATCGAGTCCCACGTCGGGCTTCCTGCACGGAGCCTGCTTCTCCCTCTGCCTGTGTCTCTCATGAATAAAGAAATGGAATTTGGGGTCATGGGCTATACGTATCTTCATCTTTTTTAGTATCTGCCAAATTGTTCTCTAAAGTGGTTTTTAGTTTGGCCTCCCTCGAGCAACATGCAGAATATAAGAGATTCTTCTCTCCCTGGTGTCACCTCTGGTCTCTGTGGTTTTATTTTCCATTTCCTTAATTACAGATACAGCTGAACAGTTTTTTTTGCCTCTCCGGTTGCATCCTACGTGAACTGCCTGTTCATCTCCTTTGCCCAATTTTCAATTGGATGTATCAGTCTCAATGCTAATCCTCCTGCAACATACGTTGCAGTGCCTTTTGTGTTCCACCATCTTGCCAATTCTTAGGGTGTTTTTGGTCAATGTTTTTCACTTATTTTGACAGAGGCAAATTTTCTTATGGCTTGTGCTTCTGGAACATCAAAAAATGTTCTTGTATTTTACTTATTTAAGAACAAAAAATATGGCTCTTGGATGGGTGGATCTGGATCACTCTGAATGTTCAGTAGATCACTGTGGTGTCCCTCCGCCCCATCCTGTCCCGTCTTCCCCAGACTAACTCCTGTCTCAAATGCTGGGTTTCCTGCATACATGCATTTGCCTAAACACAGTTGGTTTTGAACCCATGATACAGTTCTGAGACTTTCTTCACTCAACATCCTTACTGATTTATCCACAGTACGCATGTGGTCAGAGCTGATATGTTTTCATGGCTGTGCGATGTTACGCTGTATAGCTTTGCACTTGAACCACTTTCCTGATGTTGACCTGAGTCGTTTCTAGGTTCTCGTTATTAGGAAGTGCTGCTTGGCTACGCCTCTGGCTGTGCTTCCAAGGGTTTTCTAGTCTGAGCTTCAGAATGGAATTATTGCTAGTTTAGCCTTGAGCCCCTTTATGAGAACAGCCTGGGGCTGAGCAGGCCTCTTGTACTCAGGGGTGACATGTCATCTAGGTCGAGGCACCTCTGATCTTGCAGACTCCAAGTCATGGCGCTCAGGGACCTGAAGCCTGTGTGAGCTCAGGGGCGGCTGCAGTTCTCACGAGTGTCCGAGTCGGGAAATGCCAAAGGCTACGAGGCTCTTCAGCAAGCAGCCGAGTCAGAGGCCGAGCCGCAGGCCCTTCCCTGCACCTGGTCAGGAGGCCTGAACTCTGAGCTGATCTGAAGGACTGAGGTGGAGCCGGCCTGCTGCAAGGTTAAACGAGGTCTGTGGTGCACCTTCTCAGTCTGAACTGAAGCTCAGAGCCTGACATGTGGTTTGATCTCAGGACCCTGAGATCATGACCTGAGCCGAAATCAAGAGTCAGACAATCCACTAAGTCACCCAGGTGCCCCTTACATCCCCGACTCTTGAAGACTTCCCTGACCTCACTGCCCACTCTCCCCACCCTGGGCTACTGGACCAGACTGGGAGCCCCCCAGAAGCTGTGCCTGTGGCCTGGAGCTCAAATCAGGGCCTCCCAAAGGGGCAGGGGTTGGAGCTGGTCAGACCTCCACCTGCCTTTTGCCATATTACCTGACGTGGGAGTAGGAGGGCAAGGCGTGGGCATCTCCTCCACCACCTGGCCAAGACAGACACTGCCTGTTGTCTGAGTGGTCCACTGCCAAGAAGGAAGTGCTGCCCCCTAAGAAACCTTGGAGAGAGACGCCTTGGTGACTCAGTGGTTGAGCATCTGCCTTTGGCTCAGGGCGTGGTCCAGGGACCCTCATCGGGCTCCCACATCGGGCTCCCTGCATGAATCCTGCTTCTCCCTCTGCCTGTGTCTCTGCCTCTCTCTGTGTCTTTCATAAATAAATAAATAAAATCTTTAAAAAAAAAAAAAAAGGCAACCTTGGAGGGACCTACCTCTTCAATTATATGGGATACACAGGCTGTGTCTAAGGTAGGCAGTAACGAGGTTCTGCTTAGCTGGCCTCACACCACATGTGGCAAAGGGAAGGAAGGACCCTGAGGGAAGTGCTCTCCACTCCAGGCCCTATGGCTAGATATCTGCGGCAGCTTCCCAGCCAAGCTCAACCCTGTGAAGTGACCTTGCTAGCCAGACCCAGAGGGCTCCTGATGGTGCAGCCAGTGGAGCCTGTGGCAAAATCTGGACAGTGTCCAGCCTAGCTATGTCCATCAATGGAGCAAGGCACAGGCTGGTGGAACCGCAGCCCCAAGGCCAGGTCAAGGATAAGATGAGGCTGGACAGATGAAACAGGCCCAACTTGGGACCTTCATTGCCCAGAGAAGGAGATTACCCACATCCTCCTTGACCCCCAGAAGCTGCCCACTCTTGGGCACGAACTGCCCAGCTGTTAAAGGGGAGCTGGCAAAAAATATATAAAAAAATAAAAAAATAAAGGGGAGCTGGCATGTCTGGACGCATCTGGGCCCGGGCAGGAGAGGCTGCCCCATGTTGGCCCAGAAGAGGCTGCTCTTCTGCAGACCCAGGTGGGATGCCAGGTACTAAGCCTCAAGAACTGCCCAGTTAAGGTAAAAGATTTCTCAAGGCCCCACGCTTGCCACACATGACTTTATTTGAGAAGCCCCGGGCACAGCCCAGACACGCCAAGAACACAGAGGGGAAAGCAGAGCATCAGGGGGCAGCTCCAGCGCACTCCCCGCCCCGTCCAAGTCCTTTAAGAGCGCCGAGAACTGCAGCTCAGGCTCCATGGGCCCTGCCCCTGCTCCCTGCGCTGGAGAACAGGTTTGGGCCTGCCAAAGAGCCCCCTCCAGCTTGGCCCCTAGGCTAGTCACAGACACCTTGGCAGTGAGGGGGCGGGCCCCACTGGGTCTGGAGCCAGCGCCAGCTACCCAGCAACTCCCGCTCCTAAACCCCTGGTATCTGCTACTGGCTTTTCTTCCTGTCCACACGGCATGGGAACCAGCGTCTTCCCTTCTGCCGACTGCCCCGTGGCACCACACCCATGGCAGTCTCTGCCCCTCAGTCCGCAGAGGTCAGCACAGCAGGGATGGACGGTGGGGGTGGCAGTGGCTGTAGGACCAGGGCTTAGTGACAGGAAGCAAAGTCAGCCACCAAGTGAGGAGCCCCAGGCAGGGCGGAAAACACAGCCCGGCCATAACACAGAGGGAGGGGACAGCATACAGACAGCAACTCCCCGGACTTCAGTGCAGCCCAGAAGGGTAAAGAAGGCAAGGTGGGAGGGGACAGCCACCAGGACCTCAAGCTTGAGGCATGGATCAGCAGAGTGCCCTCAGATGGCAATGAGTTTAATGGCAGAGCAGCCTGCAGCCCTTTCAGGGGGGCCAGCTCCCCTCTGGTGGGACCAGGGCCAGTCTAGTGGGGAGACATTAAAAACCCAAACCCTAATGGGAAGTGCACACCTGCACACGCACCACACCGACACGCATACGCAGGGACCGACATGACACAAGCGACAAAGACCCTCCCTGCCTCTGGCCAGAGTCCTTCATCCGAATCCCTTCCCATGTCACTGGTCCAGGCCAAGGGGTGGGGAGAGGCCGGCTTCACCTCTAGACCTTGTACAGCGTCTGCAGTAGACTGTGGCGGGCAAAGGAGCAGGACTCCAGGGCACCATTGGGCCTGTGAGGACAGAAGAGTCAGTGTTGGGGGGAGGGAAAAAACACAGCCCTTGGGGGCCTGGGGGCTTCAGGCTGCAGCAGGGCCAGTTTCCCAACTACGGAGAGGGCAGGTGGGCCATTTCTGAGGCTACAAATGTGCTGGACCCCTGTTTTTCTGACTTTCACAAGGACTCTGCAAGGGAGACATTATGAGCCCGGTCTTCTGTACACTGAGGGGTGGAGAATGTGAAGCTCGGAGAGGTAGCAATGCATCCAAGGCCACACGGCTCAGCGATAGTAGGAACACAGGCCCCTGCTCTCCCTGGGCAGAGCCAAGGGTCCTTCCGGTGGGCACCAGCCCATGGCAATCTCACAGCTGCTAGAGTCCCACCTGGGCCCTCACAAATGACAGGCTGGCCTCACAAATAATGGGCTTGTCCCCATCAAGATCATGAATCTCAGGGGGATCCCTGGGTGGCTCAGCAGTTTACGCCTGCCTTTGGCCCAGGGTGCGATCCTGGAGTCCTGGGATCGAGTCCCACGTCGGGCTCCCAGCATGGAGCCTGCTTCTCCCTCCTCCTGTGTCTCTGCACCACAGAGGAAGAAAGGAGGCCAGGCAAGTGTGGGGCGGAGCCAAGATCTGCAGCCCACAGCCATCTTACCCGGTCTAGGATGGCCTTGGGATCCTAGACCATTTGGCCAGGTGATGAGGGAGGGGGACGTGCCTGTCACTCCATGGTCACTCAGTCACCTCAAAGGAGACCTAAGGGACAGCCTTTACCAACTCCCTCTTTTAATGTAGTACAGAGGAGGCCCACGCTGGGGGCAAGCAAGCAGCTACAAGGCAGCTTGCCACTGGCCAACAAGGGCGAGGGGTTCTTCTTGTGGGTCCATGCCCAGCCTCAGGGCAACGTGGACAAGACAGAAAGGCAAAGGGAACAATTCTGACTAGAGGCTGAAGGAGACAATTGGAGCAGGGCTCAGCAGGGGCTGGGAGGCAGGGACTGGGGCCACCTCTGGCGACGCTCCAGTGAGCTAAGTACTCGGATCAAGGCAGCATCCCCTGCTGTGGGAACAGGCACAGGGACAATGTACGCTGCTGGGGAGGCAGGGCCGTGAGGTCTACGGCCAGGGTGAGGGCCTACCCTGGACTTGGGCAGAGGAGCCAAGAACTCCGCTCTGTGCCCGGCATGGGGCTCGAACTCACAACCCCAAGATGGAGAGTCTCACGCTCCACCAACTGAGCCGGTCAGGTGCCCCTCAGCTCTACTTTTCACAAGGGCCAGCCAGTCTACTGCAGCGGGAAGGGTGGCCGTGGGCGGCAGGTGTGGCGGCAGGCAAGTGGGCAGACACACAAGAGCATGTGGCCCAAGGAGCACATGGGACAGCAAGACGCTGTGGTGGTGCAGAGGCCATGGCACAGACAGCTCCAGAAGCTGGCCGGTGATCCTCACCACGCCCTGAGCCAGACTAGCCCACCACCTTCATTCACGTCCCCCAAGGCAAGGGCTATGTTCTCTCTCCCCTGCCCTATGCCCACGTCCCCCCAAGGTACTGGGTTCACAAGAAGTGAGATAGAGTCGCCAGAGACAACCTCATTCAACGAGGTGGAGGGGAAGCAAAGAGGGAGACGAAGGCCTAGGGCCACAGAGGACCTCAGTGAGGACAGGGGACAAGCCTTCTGACCCACTCCTCATAGGCTGTGGGGTCTGAAGGTTTCTGGCTACCCAACTGTGGCCACTGCCTCACCACAGCCCAGGACCCTCCTCTAGGACAAGGCCAAAGTTTCCAGGTCCCTGGGTATCTGGCACCTGCCGGGGAGGGGACTGTGGCTGCAGAAGGCGAGTGTGACGGGCCCCTTTGGCCTCAGGCCTGTGGCTGCGGGAACGGACACAGAACTGTTCCCAGAGACGTCACAGAGTAGAGGACCTCGATCAGCAGTGCGAGTGCGGGCAAACCCCTTCACTATCCCATGCTGCTTCCTCATCAGGAGAAGGGGGGCCATTCCATGTCCTCTGTCTCTCTCAGGAAAAGACACTATTCCTGAGCCCATGTCCTCAGCTTGGCACAGGGGAGGGAGAAACTCAAACACGGCTGCTGAGAGCCAGGAGGCATGAGGGTCTCTCTCAAGCCTGAACAAGTGGGCCAGGAAAGCCCCCATGACTACGGGCCTGCGTACACGGGAGCCAGCTGCCACGTGAGGCAACGAGGACACACTCACTTGGTCACGAATGCCAGCAGCAGGGGTGCAAGGGCCTTGGGGAAGTAGTCCTGCTGTACCATGTGGTTCAATGCCATCAGTGGGCCGTACAAGTTGGCAATGGCCTTGATCTTGTCTTCACTCTGCAAGGAGAACACACAACACGAGGCAGGATGAGCTATAAGGCCACCTCGGGGGGACCCCTAGGTCTCTGGCACCCAGCCTTTGCTTAGAGAGCCCCGTGGCCAAGGTCAAGTTGAATCCCATCGTGAAGGTGAGACTCTTAAGCAGACCCAGGTCCCAGTAGGACTCCGCAGGGTGGACAGGATGGGTGGGCGGCCATGGCCAGAACCACCCCTGGTGGCTCCTCGCTCCCCACCCTGCAGCCTCACCTTGAGCAGACCCATGTGGACGAGGAGCTGGGTGAGGAAGGCGTTGGAGTTGAAGGAAGATGAGCTGAAGGCCTTCTTCATCAAGGCATCTACAAGGCAGAAGCGGCAATGGGGAGGGAGCCTGTTATAGCAAATGGCTGCTTACCAGCCAAGGGCATGCAGCCCTCACACACAGCATGGGTCATGCCTTGTGCACGAACCAGGTGAACACAGGGTAGTAGACCGTGGTCCCAAGTCCCAGGCTGAGGGGACAGCCAGCACCAGGGGCAAGGCCCCATCTACCAGCTGTGACACCCTGCCCTTCTCATGCTGACCTTACACACTGAAAAGGGGCTTGGGGACCTTATACAACCAGGGGGGTGGGAGGGGTGGAGATTCAGTGAGGCAGATCACCACCCAGGGGAGGCTGTAGCCATTCTGTGGGGGCCAGAGGGATAAGCAAAGAAGGGAAGGGAGGAGTGGTGGAGGCTTTCCAGGTACCGTGTGGGTACATGCTTCCATGCCAGGCTGTTCTGGGAAACGTGATTCAGGTAACTTGTTCTCATCACTGCCCATGGGCCTGGGACCCCAGGGGCAGGCTTAGTGGCCTCAACAGGGCCTCCTGCCTCAATGCCGCCCATGGGGAGTCAATCCAGGAGACAGCAGCACATGTACCTCCACTCCTCTCTACCCTTTGCAACATGCTGCCTGGCCAAGCCTGGCCCACACAGCGGGGCTCAGACATGCGTGCTCAAGGTGGAGGGGACAGGTGCTACAGTGGAAGTAACAGAGGGAACAGGGTAGCAATGGAGGGTCACGACAGGACCAGAACGTCAGGAAGCTCTGGGAAAAATCTGGGAAAAGCAGGTATCCTCCAGGCTTCCAGGTGGAAGGGACGGTGTGCAGAGGCTCACAGGTGAGGACATTAACTCAGCTCTCATGACCTCTCCTTTGAGAGGATGGTTCCCATAAGGGCCTTGCGGATGCAACTATCTGGTCTTCCTGTGGCAGATGCCACCTGGTTGAGCTCTAACTAGACCTAACTGCATGACTTTGGAAAGGCCTAGTTTTCCCCATCTGCAAAAAATAAGAGAAGGGAGCAGCCATCCTACTCCCTGGCAAGAACCCCACAGAGGAACGGGTAGGAGGAGGTGCGGAGCAGTCACACATTGCTGCTGGAACAAGGGGCTCCAGCAACTCTAAACGTCATGAACCCTGAAGCAGCAAGGAGGCAGAGCCACCCACGCCCCACCCATCCTGCATTACCTACTGCATCCTGCACTGCCGTCCTCACTGGGGCTTCGTCCTTAAACACAGACGACACCTTCAGAAAGGCAGAGACCACCTTTTCTGGGTCAGATGTATCAGTCTGAGGACACAAGAGACATCGACTGGTCACCAGGGGCCGGAGCCCCAGTGAGAGGCGCCTGCCCTGTGCGGCTGGCTGGAAGAGGCCCGTGTCTCGCCGAGGCCTCGGGTGGGCAAGGCTGGATCCCGCCCCACCCCATGGTGTCCACCTGGAGCTAGGCCTGGGCCTGGCCCAAGGCGGTATGTGATAGAGTGAGTCAGCACTGAAATTGGTTATTCCATGACCCAGCGATTCCCTTCTTGTAAATCTAACCTGAACACATAATGCAGAGGATAGACCACATTCACGTGCAAGGAAGCTTAACTTCACCAAGGCGGAGACAAGGGGAAACAATGCGAGTGTCCAGACACAGTGCACTGCCTACGTGTGACCTCCACTCACGGGGACAGAGGGCACGGCAGGAACTTTACTGACAGAGGAGATGATGAATAGTATTACATGACAAAGTGGGCCTTTCATTTCATCACATTTATCAGGAGAAGAAAAAAAAAAGACTACAGACAAAACATAAGGAAAGCAGCCAAAATGCCAAGCCAGCTTGAGAGTGGGCCCGTTTTATTTCTATTTATCACTTACGCTCGTCGAAACTGTTCTCTCATCTGTAACACAGGGTAAAAAGGTCCACATGGTGGGTTGCTAAGAGGGTTCAGTAATACCCGAACCATGTCCAAGTACTCAAGACAATGTCTGGCAGACAGAAGGCGCCTGTCAGCCACCTCAGAAGGACTAGTGAGTGAGTGAACAAACAACTGCCAAACAAGTGAGGCTGGAGAACAGAAGAGTAACATGAGGCGTCTGCAAGAGCCTTGGGCAGGACAGGTGTTCAAGAACAGCTGGTCCTACAGAACATGGGAGGGAAGTCTGGGTGTGTGCACACGAGAGTCCTAGGAAAATCCCTAACTCCCCAGGTGTCAGTAGGTGCAGCAAGCCTGCCCCACCAGCAGCCCAAGTGCATTCCCAGTGGCATGGTCATCTGTAATCTCCAGAGGGTGACAGACACACGGCTCACACTCATTTGTGTGTCCGTGGATTTAGAAAACAAATGTCTAGGTATTTATCCAAAGGATACAAAAACAGTGATTCAAAGGGGCACCTGTGCCCAATGTTGATAACAGCAATGCCTACAATAGCCAAAGTATGGGAAGAGCCCAGGATGACCACTGACAGGTGATGGATAAATACGATGTGGGATGGGATGCCTGGGTGGCTCAGTGGTTGAGTGTCTGCCTTTGGCTCAGGGAATGATGCCGGGGTCCTGGGATAGAGTCCCACATTGGGCTTCCTGCATGGAGTCTGCCTATGTCTCTGCCTTTCTGTGTCTTTCATGAATAAAGTCTTAAAAAAAAAAAAAAGTATCCTCAAAGAGACATTAAAAAAAAAAAAAAGACAATGTGGGATACATATACAATGAAATATTGCTCAGCCATCAAAAAGAATGAGGTAGGGGAGCCCCGGTGGCTTAGTGGTTTAGCGCCACCTTCAGCCCAGGGTATGATCCTGGAGACCCAGGATCCAGTCTCACATCAGGCTCTCTGCATGGAGCCTGCTTCTCCCTCTGCCTGTGTCTCTGCCTCTCTCTCTCTGTGCCTCTCATGAATAAACAAATTCTTTAAAAAAAAAAAATGAGGTCTTGTCATTTGCAAAGACGTGGATAGAACTGGAAACTATTACGCTAAGCAAAATAAGTAAGAGAAAGACAAATATCGTGATCTCACTACATGTGGAATTTAAGAAACAAAACAGATGAACATAAAGAAAAGAAAAATAGCGCAGCCCAGGTGACTCAGCGGTTTAGTGCCGCCTTCTGCCCAGGACCTGATCCTGGAGTCCCAGGATCGAGTCCCGCATCGGGCTCCCTGCATGGAGCCTGCTTCTCTCTCTCTGCCTGTGTCTCTGCGCCTCTCTCTCTCTCTCTCTCTCTCTCTCTGCATCTCTCATTAATAAATAAATAAGATCTTAAAAAAAAATTAATAAAATAAAATACAACTAAAGAATCATTCATTTCTACCCACGAAATGGGTCCTGGCAGCCCTGGACTCCCACTGACTGTTCCTCCCCACCCCCAGTCCCGTGCTCTGCTGGTCCCCGTCTCCGGCAGCTCCAGAAGCCATGGCACGCACGGGCTTGAGCTGGTGGTGCTCGGACCTACCTGCTGGGCTATGAGCACTGAACTCTTGGGGCCGAGACGCAGCAGCTTCTCTGGAGAGGGGAAAGCCAGGAAAGTGGAGACGTCTGCAGGAGGCGGGGAGGACAGCACGGGAGCTGGCTCCTGAAGGACGGGCGGCACAGGGGGGGCTCTGTAGAGGTCCAACCCCAGACTCCTCACCCAGAGCATGCACCCCACTCCAGGAGGGCAAGGCTCAGAGTCTAGTAGTATTCCTCCCAATCATGTGCAGCCCCCCCAAGGGCATGGGGGCCCCCCAGGCACTGGCCCTGGCTGGCTCCCAGGGCAGGAGCCTCTGGGGTGGGGGGCGAGCCACCTCCTTGGCCAGGTGGCTCCTCGCCATGATACACGACGTCCAGGTAGGAGGCCTGTGTGGGGTAAAGTGGACCCCGCCAGGAACTACTAGAGTGAGGCTGGGATAAGCACCAGGGGTGCCCAGAGCCACTAAGACTGAGAAGTGAAATGCCATTTGCTGAAATGCTGTCCTAAACTAGAAAAAAAAGTGAAAATCAACATGAGCATGGGGCTCCTTGGCCAACCCGTAGTTCTCTGGAAGCTTTACTTGGGAGTCTGTGAGGCAGTCCTGACTATACCAGCCTCTCGGTGAAGCAAGGGGACACCAAGTGTCCCGGCTGGGCCACAGTCTCCAGAATGGGGAGCTGTCCCTATGGGTCACCAAGGTGGGTAGAAAATGAATTTCTGTTTATGCCTATTTTTTACCCTATTCTTTCAGGGATATTTATACATGTTTCATAATCAATGGTGCAGCCACATAACACATGGTCTAATCACGTCATAGAGCACAAATGAATAAACACATCGGTGCTGAGGTGAGTATAAATATAGATGAAAACAGCCACACTGGGATGATTCTTCTTTTACTTACAGGAGTGTGCATTCAAAAATAGTTTGCACTCAGGGTACTTAAGTGGATTCCACACCTACCACCCCCGTGAAGATGTCTCAGGATTTCACATGCGAGGGCCAGGGCACTGATCCTGGCCAACGACAAGGAACTCACTCCACTGTTTGGGTCCAGAATCTTCCTTGATGGTGTGGATGACTCCTCTCCTTGCCCTTGCTGTGGCTCTTCCTCTTCCTCCTCTTCCTCCTCCTCTTCTTCATCTTCTTCCTCCTCCTCCTCTTCTCCTTCCTCTTCCTCCTCCTCCTCTTCCTCCTCCTCCTCGTCATCCTCGCCCTCATCATCACTGCAGAGGGGAGTTGGCTAAAGCAGACCCTCCCTGCCCAGTGGCCCATGTTGGCTCCGAGGCCTGGTTCCACAAACCCACAGACCCCAGTGAGGTGGGAGGGAGCCTGCAGAGGGCAGGGGGAGCAGCTGCTCCCAGGGTGGGGGCACGTGGGTCATCTCTCATCACCCAGGGAAGCCCATGTGGTGAATACCAAAGAATCAGACCTCATCCCTGTCCCAAATGGGCCCCGGTCCCACTGGGGAGACAGAGAAAAGGAAGAAAATGTCTGTCACAGCTGAGGCCCAGGGCTAGGCAGCAACACTGCCTAGCAGCGATGCCAGGGGGATGGGAGTTTCTGGGACCATGGGCCTCTTGAGGCCATCTCTGAGCCCTCAATTCTTAGCAGCAGCACAGGCCTAGCACTGAGGGACTGACAGGTGACTGAAGGTGTCCTGGGAGCCGAAGGACAGTGGGAGCCAGATGCTGATGGCCCAAACGACCCATCCAGATGGAGAAGGCAGCCCCACCACCGCAGCCCCTGCTCGCACTCGGTGTGGGCTCCACAAACCCAGAATCCCCACTCATCAACCTCTTCCTTTCCAGACTCAGTCTCCAAGTCTGATTTTTAAGAACAATCATGAGCCCACCCCCCACTGCTGCCCTGGCCTCACTGCTCCCCTACCTCCTCTGTCAGCTCGGATCAGCAGCCTCCCCAACTCCCTTACTCCAAAGGGTGACCGTTCTCAGACCCTTATCTGCTGAACATACAGTAACCTAATTATCCCTGCCCACCCGTCCTGCCAGAACGAAGTCCCAAGAGTCAGAAACCTTCACCGTCTTCTCCTGGCATCCCTAATGCCTCGCACAGCACTTGACACATACAGGGGCTCAAAGAATAAAAGCAGAAGGCAGGCGCTGCTGGCTCACAGCTCCCTACCTGAGGGAAGCCAGCACCCTGGTCATGTTGAAGCCATCCAGCACCTCCTGGAGCTGCTCACAGCCTTCTTCTCCCAGCATGTTGCCTGCTCACGGGTGGGAGAGGGGAGGGGAAGGAGGTCAAGAGCCACAGCAGGGCCCGGCTTGCAGGCCTGGGCCAAGGCCACCATCCCGATTACCATTGAGGTCCAGCTTCTCCAGTTCGGCCTTGTCCGCCACGGCCTCGGCGACAGCCAGAGCAGCATCTCTCTTGATTTCGCAGAATGACAAGTTCAGCTCCTAAAAATAAGAGGAAGGAGTAGAGGCAAACAGAACCACAGGCCAGGAGACCGGGTCCTACCCCGAAACCTCGGTCTTCCCCGACGGAGGGTAAGGCAAGCTCATCCTCCAGCTGGGCAGCCTAACACCCACAATAAAAATAATGCCATTTACCCAGCTATGCTGGGTCTCTTATGCTCTACCATGGTGACCTCTAGCTCTCCCCTCTCCCATTGCAAAAATAGAAAAAACCAGCTCACATCACACAGGTGAAAAGAATCGCACAAAATCCGAGGGAACCCAGGCCCACCTAGCCTTAAAGACCAGCACACCCCCGGCACCCACGGTAGCACACTGAGAGTGGGGGAAGCCTAGAGCTGTGTGGGAAGACAGGCGGCACCTTCAGCTTGGGCAGACCCCCACGCACAGCCTCGGCAATGGCGACGGCACCCTTGGAGCGCACCAGGCAGTCCCCAAAGTTGATCACTTCCGCCTGTCGCAAGGTCTTCAGTGTCTGTGGGGGGAGGCAAAGGTGTGAAGGTGCAGGCCCCCAAGAGCCCATGGCACACCCCGTGTCAGTCGTCATTCCATCCGCCTCCCTGTCGCCTGGCCTTCTCTGAACCTCACCAGCTCTTGTCTCCTCCCGGCCTCTGGTGAACCTCCCTCCACCCTACTGCTACACCGCAGCCAGAATCTCCCTGAAGCACAGATCTGACCAAGTCAAACCCCAACTTAAAGCCCTACACAGCTGCCTATTACTCATGGCAGAGCCTCAGTTAGCAAGGCCACAAGGTCTTGCCTCCCTCTCCACTCCTCCAGCCCTCACACACATCCTGAACCCTGGTTATTTCCAAAGGACCAAAGGAACGAGGCTCCCTCCCACCTCTGCGCCCCCCCACCCCCCATGCTGCTGATCCCTCTGCCTGAAACACCCCTCTCTGTCCAAAGTCCATCTGTCCTAATCAACTCGGCCAAAATGTGACCTTTTCCAGAAAGCCCACCCTAGGTCTGATTTGAGCTTCCTGTATTCCCCTACACTTGCACACATTTCCGCTAATACCCCATAGCAGCAGGACTAGCCTTTTGAAGGTCTTAGGGCCCTGTGAGGTCTCGCCAGCCAGCCAGCCAGCCAGCCCACAGGATTCAGGCCCTGCACTGTCAATGGCCACTCCCCTCTCTCCTTGACCTAGGGGCTCCTTGCAGGCAGAGTCTGATTCAAATCTGTGTGGCCTGCACTTGGTACAGGGGTGAGCACCGGACAGGGCTCAATAAATAGCTGATGAGAGAATCAATGAGAAAAACAGTCGGGCTGGAGCAGCCTTCCATGCAGCCTCTGAGAACAAATTCGGCACCAATAGCTGGGTTTACAGAGGCAGCTCAGGAGGGAAAATACTATGGACACTCAGAGCTGCCCAAAAAGGGCACAGGCAAGCTTGTGACATATGCCCTGTTCTGGAATGTTCAAAAGAGCCAGGGCACAAACCTGGTGGACGGGCGGAGGAGCTCACCTGATGATGGGTGTGTTAAAAAGGTAGTGGTCAGACCCTGCTTACCGCGGTCCCCTCTGACCCTGCCACTCTCGCCTCACCTTGGCCATAGCCACAGCGCCCTTCTCAGTGAAGGTGTTGTCGTTCAGGTTGATGACACGCAGCAGGGGGTTGATTGCGAAAGCCTGGGCGAGGGCAGTGACGCCAGGATGATTAATCCCGTTCTGTGGCATGTGGACCTCCTCCAGAGTCCCGATGATCTATGAGGGAGCAGGAGGGACAGAGCAGAGTGGTGGGCTCCTGAGCTCCCCCTGGGCCAGGCCCAGTGCCAACGACAACCAGCAGGCAGGAAGGTGGCGCTACACACTAGACATGGGGAGGGGCTGCCATCAGCTCAGGCACAGGCTCATCCCTGGCTATTGGCACAGATCGCAAAGCAGAACTTTGGGTATGGCTGTATCTGATCATCTCCACAACCTCATGAGGGACACCTACCTGGGATGGGGAACCCCACCAGACAGAGAAGACTAGGGATCAGAAAGGCTAAGTAACTTATGCAGGCTCACACAGCTCAGAACACAGGTTCCTGCATCTGGTGTCCACACTGCAAGGACCCTGGGTGTTGGCCTGGTCTGCCACAGTCCTTCCTCGCATACTGCAGCTCCACTGCATTGGTCTTTCTCTGGGCTCTCCTGCCCTATTTACACAGTATGACCAGTGCTCCACATTTCCTCCTTTTCTGGGGGGTGGGATCTTCTCCAACCACCTACCCCTTTTTCATCCCAACTTTCTGACACCTCTTTTTTTTCTGGTTAAAGCACTCAGGGTCTTTATTTGTTGGTATTTCCTTGATAGATCGACTCCTATGTAGTCTTCCTATATACCTCTCATTTTAGACACCTCCCCCAGGAAGGCTTCCAGGATCCCCACCCCCCTGCCCACGTACAGTCCAGCACTCTTCCTCTGTGCCCCCAGAGCATGTCCTTCCTCTCTCATGGTATTTGTTCATCATCCTGGACTACCAACATCGCCCTCCTGTCTACACTCCACCAGCCTCTGAGCTCTCAAGAAGAGACTCATGTCCCAGTTTCCACTGCTACCAAGGACCGAGGTCAGGCCTATGAGGACTCTCCACCTAGATACCTTCTGTAGTTCCAAAATGCCCAGAACAGCACAGGGGGTTCACAGGTAAATATGGGCAGGCCAAGTGAGGAACATTACCAATCAGGGCTTCTCAATATCTTCTGTGCCACAGACCCTCTGGGTAGTCGGGTACAGCCCCTGGCTCCCTCCTTAGCATATTTTAAAATTTTAAGATAGGGATCCCTGGGTGGCGCAGCGGTTTAGCGCCTGCCTTTGGCCCAGGGCGCGATCCTGGAGACCCGGAATCGAATCCCACGTCGGGCTCCCGGTGCATGGAGCCTGCTTCTCCCTCTGCCTGTGTCTCTGCCTCTCTCTCTCTCTCTCTCTCTCTCTCTCTCTCTGTGACTATCATAAATAAATAAAAAATTAAAAAAAAAATAAAGTAATAAAAAAAAATAAATAAAAAATAAAATAAAATTTTAAGATAAACCATATGGGCCTACTATGAAGGCAATCAATTCAATTGAAAGAGAATCCTCAAAATATTTAGAAAAGACCCCAAATGTGTGCTGCAGTAATAAATTCACTCCTTATTATAAAGGCACTGAGCAGGGACGCCTGAGTGGCTCAGAGGTTGAGCTTTTGCCTTCGGCTCAGGACATGATCCCGGGGTCCCAAGATCGAGTCCTGCGTCAGGCTCCCCACAGGGAGCCTGCTTCTCCCTCTGCCTGTGTCTCTGCCTCTCTCTGTGTGCCCCTCATGAATGAATGAATAAAATCTTAAAAAAAAGGGGGGGGGGCACCGAATAACAAGTCCTCCTGGAGGCAAGTCCACTGATGCATGAGGAACAAAGGTCAGAAAGCTGAAGGAGAGTGTGACGTTCAGAGAAGGCACAACGTAACATCACGACGTTTACAAGGATGGCAGCTAGGCTCCTCTAGCTCTGGAGGCACCTCTCCCCTGCTGCGTTCACTCTCTGCCTGAGGGAGACGAGCTCCAGCAGCTAGATGGCGGGGCATGCCACTCTGGCCTCAGTGTGGTTAATGCTGCTAGAATACGGTTTGCCAAAGAAAACAAATTAAGAGAAAAAAAAGACTCCAAAGTTCCCAGCCCTGTGGGACAGGTGTGGGCCTCTCATGGAGCTCGCAGTCAGGGTCTCAGCAGGGTCCCAGAGGGCAGGGCACCTGGGCCACAGCTCCCCTACCTCCCTGTCTCAAAGGTAAGTCTGATGACTCCATCTCTGTGCCCCGCCCACTAGAGGCCAGAGATATGCACCCTCTGTGAGCCCAGGCACTGTGCCAGCCTATCATCCCACTCACTGCCCTGGCTCCCCCGTCCCCGTTTCCGAATCTGGCAGTCCTCAATCACTGACCAGAGCAACCTCAAAATCTTCTCAAACAGTATTCCAGGGAGCTGCCACCAGTTCACCTGCAGCAGTGGATCATGCAACTTTTCAGACACATGACAGGAATCCTGCCCCACTGCAGAACGAGCCACAGGTGCAGAGAGGGGATGTAACTCGCCCTAGGTCTCGCAGCTCCACTCCAGAGCCGGAGGCACACCAGGCTGTCAACCTGCAAAAGCTTAGCCCGCCTCAAGGCACGGCGGGGCAGGGCGTACCACTCACCCCGAAAGCTTCTGCCAAAGCGGTGGCTCCGTCGTTCTCCAGACGGTTTCTGCCGGCCACGAAGACCTTCAGGCCCAGTGGCTTGCCTTGGGCACTGGATTTCCGGTGACACTCAGTCAGAGCCGCTGCCAAGATCTGTGGGGCAAGAGGGAAGAGGCCCAGCCTCTTGGACATCCTATGCCACCTACTGGTGGTGGACGTGGGGACAGAGAACTGCTCACAAGCAACATGCTCACACTGCCCATGTGCCCAGCACCTCGCAGCTTACTAGGGGCTTTCACGTACATCACCTCTTTTGTGTGTCCCACTACCCTGTGGGGTTTAGCCTCATGTTAGCGATGGGGAGAGACACCTGGAGGGAGGGGAGACACCAAATGGGAGGTCCATGGAAGGGCAGGTACTAGGGAAGGGGCTTCACAGTCGGCTCACTGCACTGCCAGAAGCCGTCTGTCAGGTGGGGACCATAGTGATTCCTCCTCTCCAGCTGAAGAACCTCAGGCTCAGAGAGGGACAAGGACATTCCTACAGCTGCTAAACATATGGAAAAATCTAGACCAGAACCCAGATCTTCTGGCATTTCTTCCACATTGCCCAATGCCTGAGGGGGAGCTGGCCAAGACCATGGTCACACTCCTTTGACATACACCATATTGTTGGTGTAGTGCAAGGACAGAAGCGAGGACGCAGCTTCTGCCTGGGTGGTGATATCAACACAGCAAGAGTTAAAAAAAATGCTGGCTGGTTGCCGGGAATCAGAGAGACCATGGCTGCAACTGGCAGCCAGTCAGCCTGACTACACAGCTCTCTGTCCCTGGGGGCTAGAAGGGCCACCACAGCCTGACTCCCGGTGGGTGGTTTGCATGCTCAGTGCACAGATCATGGATGTCTGCCATAAACCAGCCTCCTAAAAAACCAGCACATTCCATTCTCCTCAGGTACCTCTGGGCCCACCACAGTGAGCTCCTACAAGAGTCCAGCCTGGGGACTCAGGGCCTGGAGAGCTCCAAGCACAGGGCTACATCACACTTCCAGCGAATCCTTTGGGCCCCTCCAATTCCCTTGTGTGTGGCACATGGGCCACACTGAATGCACTCTGGCCGGAGGAACAGATTCTGAAGGAACTGGAGCCTGTGGCACTCGCAGCTCCCAGGAGGTGCAGGTCAGCAAGGCCGGCACCCACAAGATGCAACAAAACTGAATCAGAGGTGAGGGAGGTAAAAACGAGCACACATGACATTCCAGAGTGGAGCTGGGCTGCCGGGGGGACCCCCTGGCTGCAGGGTCCAGCCTTTGTGCCTGAGCTATGGCCCACGCCAGAGTAAAGGCAAGGCCTGCTGCCCAGCCACTGGCAGCTCTAGGAGCCACAGTAGCCCAGGCCTGCCGCGCAGCAGGGGGGAGCCGATGGAAAGCCGGGGTCTTTCAAAGGCGCATCTCCAACTCCCTCAGCTCTAGGTTGGGCTGGACCCATTTTCTGTGCAGATGCCAACATTTTAATATCTTCACACACGCACGGCTTACTGCTTAACGAGACTGGGGAGGTGGGGGATGGGGCTGGCAAGGGGGCCAGCAGCACATCCTGGCTCTCCCCTCCCATGGGGTCAGAGGCAACAGGCACCCTCTTCAGGGGAGGCTGCTCGAGGAGCCCGGGGCACTGTGAGCACAGCACAGGCTCTTCCTGCTGCTCTGATGGGTGTGGAAGCAGGTTCAAATCCCAATCAGAGGGCAGCCCCGGTGGTGCAGCGGTTTAGCGCCGCCTGCGGCCCGGGGTGTGATCCTGGAGACCCGGGATCGAGTCCCACATCGGGCTTCCTGCATGGAGCCTGCTTCTCCCTCTGCCTGTGTCTCTGCCTCTCGCTCTCTCTGAATGAATAAATAAATCTTTAAAAAAAAAAAAATCCCAATCAGATCATCCTATTGATGCCATCTGGGGACTTGACCCAAGGTCTCTATCCAGTTAAGGGGAAAACTGGGAATAGCATCAGCCCCTTTTTTAGGTGTGGGTGGGAGAATCAGGGTAGCATTTAACACATCTTCAAAGAGAAGACGTCCTGAGTCGTTGTCAGTCCCTGTGTCCCAGCCCTTTTCTCCTTTTGGTCAGAATGTGAGTGGGAGGATGGGAATTGGCCTTTCTAGTCTTCGGGGCTTAAAGGAGCCAGAATGGACCAAAAAGATAATCAACAAGGCTGGGCTCCCTCCACACACGTTCTAGGAAGAGAAGAGACACGTTTCTGCACTGACTAGCCTGACTGGCTGGCTGGACAGGAAAGGCACCTCAGGCAAGGCCTGGTCCAGGAAAAAGGTGAGCTGTGCCCAGGCCTCAGTGGTTTCTCTTCTGGACTCCCTCCCCCACATGCACACAGCAGGCCTCACGTGGCCCTGCCAGCTGTTCTGAGGGCAGAGCAAGTCTGGGATGCCCAAGCCCTGTGCTCTGCAGAGCCAGCAGGTCAGCGCATGTACAAGAAGCTGCCTCTGTGTTGCCAAGACAACACGAGAACTGGGGATGGTTGCTTGGCAACCCCACCCTCCGGGCCTCCACCTCCTCTCCACTGGCCACAGGCTGCTGCCTTTGAGGCCTTTCTCCTCTGAAGAGAAAAACAACAGACCAGCCATCCCAGATGGTGGTCAAGGGCACATACTCCCAGCTCCTCAGGAAGGAGACCGGGCAGGGTGGGGGGGGGGGAGGGGTAAAGGGGGACGTGGGGGACGGGCAATGGAGGACACGGGCGTGGGGGGAGGGCCTGCCACACCCACCTTGCCACCGCCGATGCCCATGCCACAGTTGTTGAGCTTGAGCTCATGAAGGGTGAAGCAGGCAGAGCTCTTGAGCAGGGCCTCAAAGCCTCGCACACCATCAGGCCCAAACGCATTGTCGCTCAGGTCCAGCTCCACCAGCTGCGCCCCGGCTGTGATGAGTCCCTCCCCTAGTGAGATCTGGGCAGAGACAAGGTTCAGCTCAGTTTTGCAGACGTCTCCCGGGGAAAGCTTCTACACCAGGCCCCTTCTGCCCTCAGGGGGCACCCAGGCAGAGACACAAACCATTTCATACCCGGAAACCCTAACGAGGGCTCCCAATTCAGGTGGGGCATGGGGCTCAGTATATGTAGGAGTGATCAGGGAAGGCTTCTTGTCGAAGGGGGCATTTCAATTCAGGCTAGAAAATTAGTTAACCAAACATGAGATTCTGACCAACAGTACAAACACAAAGAGACGTAAGTGTGAAGCAGCGTACTGTGTGTCTACAGACAAGCAGTGGACTCCAGAAGAGGCTGAGGCTGGAAGGAAGAGAGGAGTCAAATCAGGCTAGAGCCCTGAATGCCAAGCCAAGGACCGTGACCAGAGCCTAAGAGCTCTGAGGGCTTTGATGTGGGTGAGGGATATAAAAGACATATCCTCTGAACCTGAGGAGGGCAGACTGGAGGCAGAGGACCTGCCCAGGAGTGTGAGACAGTGACCTAGGCAGCAGAGGAGGAAGCTGGCTGGCTGGTGTGGTGGGAGACAGAAGACAGGGAACAGAGCCTTGGGTTGGTTTAGATCCCAGAGGGAGGGAGACCTGCAGAAACTGGGTATTCAATGATGTGCAGGAAGGAGGAAGGCACCAGTGATGCCTCTGGGGTTTCTGAGGGTGACTGGGGAGGCAGGCACTTGTGTTTGAGCCACAGCCCAGGACCAACGTGGTAAGATGCATAGCTCTCCTGGGAACCCGCTGGGCTGGGGGTACCTACAGTTCCCCAGGAGAGATGGGAAAGGAGGCTCTGCCAGAGACTAGGGGCAGAAAGGGGCTAGGCATGCATCCTGTGTGTGGTTCCCAGTGGATGGAGTGGGGGAGGGATACACTGTCCCTGCCCAGGCCACTGATGGGCTAACAGAGGCAGTTTCCACTGTCCTCCCCACCACTGACTCAGCAATGGAGGGCCATTCTCTGCCTGCCCCTGCTGACCTCCAGCCCTCCTGCAGCCAGAGCTGCTGAAACCCTGTGTCTGCTCAACCTTCCCTGCATCTCATGCCTTTCCTCAACCCCATATTCTCTTGCCCCCCTTCCTAGGACTCACTCTTGTCATTGGTGATATGGAGACAAGAAAACCTCCCTCAAAGGTTGAGAAACTTAAATGCTAAAACTCAGGTAAAACAATGCATGCAGGGCCCAGTTTGTATCTCACAAGCACATTTTCTTCACCCCCTCTTCTAACTTTAAGTCCTTTTCTTACTAACCCCCAAATGAATTTACTTAACCTATACTCTAAATCCTCCCTTTGCCTGGTTCTTATTCACCCTTTGAGACTGGTAACTAATAGAAGCAGCTCCCTGAAGGCTTCCTCAGCTCCCCCAGTGGAGGAGACCTCCCTCTGGGGTACCCATTTGGGCACCTGTCACTCCCTGAATGACCCTTAGTTGTTTACTGAATTGAGATGCATTATTATATTAGTTCATTAACATTATTAATTTATTAATATATTTATTCATTTAAATGTAAACTCTACATTTTACAAAATTTACAAAACGTAAACTCTACATTACTCTACATCCAACGTGGGACTTAAACTCGACCCTCAGATCAAGAGTTGTTTACTCTACCGACTGAGCTAGCCAGGCACCCCAGGACTGAGGTGCTTTAGAAATGAGGGTAGCCCCTTGGGCACCTCAGGAACCACAGTGCTGGCTACTTGCATGGAGTTCTAAGAAGGCAGCCCAAGCACAGCCAGGGTGAGCCCCAATAACAGTGATGGTCATGTCAATCATTGACCAAGAGGCTCACCCTCATGTACTAGGCCTCCTGTTCCTAAAAGGCTGCCAATACTATTACTAACCCTGCCTCTTTCCCTTGAGCCCCAGGCAAACCATGTTCTGCTCAGTGATGCCCCCTCCCACCCCACCCATTCACCCAACCCCAGGCTAAAAACCGGATGCAAGTAAGGCTGACCCTCAGGAATGGGGAAATGGAAAACAGAGTGGATGGAAGCCACCCACCATGAGAAGCAAAGCAAAGAGTGGTATGGAGAAAGAAAGGGCCCAGAGGGAGAGGTGGGGCAGTAGGGCACAGAAGGGTGTGAGGGAGCAGAACAGGGATATGCAAAGATTAAGGAGACTAAGCACAGAGGGAGTGAGATCCACAGTGTGGATCCACAGAGAAGCCACAAATCTCAGGAATGAACCCAAGCCCCCACTGTCTGGCTCCATTATTGCCTGTACACCCACTTGCCTGTCAGGACATGGGAAGACACTGCACTTGCCTGGCTTCCACTGAGCACCTCAGTCATGCATATCGTGAACAAAACATGAAAGAAGTCCTGGGAATGGCCAAAGAGGTCCCTGTGCCCAGAGGAGGGGAACAGCCGCCTTGTGCACTTACCAAGGCTGGTGGGATCTCGGACCGCAGCCTCCCCGTGAACATGTCACTCCAGTGGCATCGCTTTGGAAGGAAGAGGAAGAGAAGAGTTAGTGGAACCCCGCAGAAATGGCCTGCAGGAAACACCTCATCCTTGTGGCCATGGACTACTGAGCATTACAATACTTCTCAATTTAGGTTTCCTCAGCAAAAAAAAAGCTGGTCCAGCTCTGGCTAAAGCTGGGGGGAACCGGGGGTACCTGGAGGCCCCAAAGGCCATACAGGCCTCAGAAGAAGTATGGGGAAAAGTCTGATCTGCCTAACTCTCTAGTTTTCCAGGAGAGAAACCAGGCTGAGAAGAGACTAGCCACAGGCCCCAAGGTAAGGCAGTGGTAGAGCCAGGAGTCTGACTTCTTTGGCTCTTCTCCTGCCAAATAGGTCAGACTCCTGGCCCAGTGTTTGTTTCCAATACCAATCTCCCATATATTGTGGGCCAAAGTGACACATGACAGGATTTGGGTGGCAAAAGCAGATAGTAAGCAATATGGGTTCCAGCAGCAAGGAAATTATTTTTCAAGGTTCTTTTTTTTTTTTTTTCCCCAAGTAATCCCTAGGCCCAGCATGGGGCTCGAACTCACAACCCTGAGATCAAGAGTCTCAGGCTCTATCGTCTGAGCCAGCCAGGCACTCCTTGAGACTCTTCAATCCTTCTGATCACTTCTAGAAGGGGGCCTTGCTCTGCGGCTGGTGGATCTTGCCCATCTCTCCACTTCTTCCTCATCTGCCTCTTGAACAAAGGGCAAGCAGGCCTCACGCTCAGAGCCTTTAGATGACAATGTATCAAACTAGAATTTAATTATGCTATTTTGGTAAGGAACATCACTTTCTATTTACAGAAGGAATCACAGTTACTTATAAATTACATCAAAGTGGCTTGGTAAAGCCACAGATGTGGCGGCCCTATCCCTAGGCCGTGTCACCACATGTCATCCTCCAACTCAGCTCCACTCCTGCAGCCTCCAGGTGCAAGCCAGCTGTGTCCACCCAAAGTATCAATTCTGGCAGCTCCCACCTTTCCTGGGCCAAACCTGGGAATGATGGAACCCAGCGAAAGCAACTTTCCCCTGAAAATCTGGTCCTTGAAATGTGTGAACTAAATCCAACCCTAAGTCCTAGGCAAACTGGTTTCTGTAGACTTCTCAAGGCTTCCAGTAAAGCAAATCACCAACACGCATGGAGCCGTAGGGGACAGTCTATATGGATCTGCTCAGTAACACCTGAATGCAGGTGCTCAGGGCCAGGACCCAAAGCCAGTGTGAGCCCTGGAACACCTAACAACTGGCATCTCACCCCAAAATTTCCTCAACCCAACTGGGATGGGCCAAGAGTCAGCATGGAGATTAAGGGCACAAGGACTAGGTTCCAATTCTGACTTAACCAGTATGCAGGCCTGCCACTCACCACTCCCCATCTCTGACCCCTAGTACCCTGTCTCTGAAATACAGCTTTGGGGCTCAGCAATCTCTAAGTGAGCAGTAGTTACTGCAGAGCAGTTATGAGCCTGGACTGTTTTCTGGGCTGCAATCCTCACCCTCTCCTAACATGTGTGGCCTTGGACCACACTTCCCTCATCTGTCAAGACCTAACTTGGGCAGCCTGGGTGGCTCAGCAGTTTAACGCCTGCCTTCAGCCCAGGGTGTGATCTTGGACTGATCCCAGGGTCGATCAAATCCCACATCAGGCTCCCTGCATGACGCCTGCTTCTCCCTCTATCTGTGTCTCTGCCTCTCCCTCTGTGTCTCTTATGAATAAATAAATAAAATCTTCAGGAAAAAAAAAAAAAAAAGACCTAACTCATGCCTGTGTTGCAATAGGAAAGGTAACATCTTATTTCACATCAGCACCTTGGCCAGAGCACTACTGGCTCTCACATGCCCCAGCCCTGACCCCGGGATCCCTCCTGCACAGAAGCAGAGCTAAGACACTGTGGGGTGGGGTGACTAGGCACTAGGTCTGCACAGGATGACATGATGCACATGGCACTCTTGCTGTCAAGCTCTCCCATGTCATAGGCTCACATCTAGTCACCAAGGCAACCTCACAGGGAAGAAAAAGGTTTTGTAAAGGAGCCCAGATCCAGAGCAGGGTTTGGTGCAAGACTACATAATACAACTAAAGTGGTACTGGGGCTTGACCCAGGCCCTCAGATGACAAAGCTCCACTCCTGCAGCCTCCAGGCCCAGACGACAGCTTTTCCATTCTTGTCCTGCATGGGTCACTGGGGAGGGCTGAGTACTTTTGTAGGAAAATGTCCCAGCTTCTGCTCAGGGACACGACAGGCCCTGGACAGAAGAGAAGAAACAAACTGCCTTGGCCATTAATCTGACTGTGATAATCCCAAGGAGATAAACAGCAAAGGCGATGGCACGAGCTAGCTCCAGGTCCTCACTGGGCAAATCCACTCTGTATGCCCTGGCCCTGCATTCCTTCTGTTCAGCAAGCACAGCAGGGAAAGAGAACTGGACAAACTTCAGAGCGCGCCACGTGGCCAACTGATCAGCATTAGGATCCTGGGCTGTTTACTCAAAACTCCCAGCCTCCGTTCCCTTAACTTACAAAATGGATACAGTCTTTACCACGTGGGGTGCCAAAAGGACTAATGCCACATGCAGAAGAGCCCAGCACATGCCTGGCCCTGCATGCACTGAGCACCATTTGCAGTCGGGAAAGCTGGTCTCTCCCTCATGACTCTGCGGAGGCCTTAATGTGATACACAACAGGATTCCCGGCAACACGGAGGGTGTCCAGGGATGTCCTCCTGGCATTTTAAGTACCTGAGAGCCCATCTCTTCTCACAGAGCACCTCAAAGGACTGGTATTTAGTAGGACCCCCTTTGGGACATAATGTAATAGTAGGATCTCTGTCGGCCAAAGAGGAGCACCACCTTTAAGAAAGAACTCACCAGGGGGATCCCTGGGTGGCGCAGCGGTTTGGCGCCTGCCTTTGGCCCAGGGCGCGATCCTGGAGACCCGGGATCGAATCCCACATCGGGCTCCTGGTGCATGGAGCCTGCTTCTCCCTCTGCCTGTGTCTCTGCCTCTCTCTCTCTCTCTCTCTCTCTCTCTCTCTCTCTCTGTGACTATCATAAATAAATTAATTTAAAAAAATTAAAAAAAAAAAAAAAAAAAAAGAACTCACCATTCAGCTGTAAAGAGTGCAGCACCTTCCCAAACCCACCACAGCAACTGTGCTGAGGCTTGGCCACTGCTGCCCCACATGTGACTCTTCTACGGGCAATCTCTGCTCTGGAGCTCCTGGCTGGGGAGGCTTGGTGCTCGCCAGAAAGGTCCCACAGTCCAAGGCTCTGGTGGCCCAATTCTGTGCCCTTCCCTCCTCACAGATGCCATATCTGCATTGCTAAAGGCTCTCCCTGTCCAGTTCTGCTTCTTCCCCCTTTATCATGCATGTTACCTGATGAACCCCTGATCCTTGTGTCTGTTACTAGGACACAACACACTGGGACAGAGGCCTCGGCCAGTGCTATGTGCTCTGGGGAGGCCAGAGCAAGAGGAGCTGTAGTGGTGACTGTCAACAAGGCAAGACCTAGGAGGGTATGGACACAGGCAGGGACTGTGGTGGCCTTAGTGGAAGCTTGTCCCCAACCAGTCTGGGCCTGCTCACCATGCAAATCTCACCTTCAACTCTGACTTCTTCTCCAAGGCCTTGGCGATGACTCTGGCTGCCTCCACGCCCACTGTGTTGCCCTCCAGGCGCAGAGCCTCTAAGCCATCAAAGTCTTCAATCTCTTTAATCACGTCTTTGGCTGCCAGGAACAAGAACAGAACCTTAGATTCTGAGAGTCATGAACAGCAGAGGAAGAAGAGAGTCTGGCCACAATCTCGTCACTCACCATTCCAACAGCAATAGTATGCCTACTGTGGCTGGGCCCTGGCTTACCAAGGAGAATCAGGCTGGCTCACACTCTACCAGGGGACTCTGCTACAAAGACAATTCTATCTGTACTGGGTGTTAAAAACAGGCTTATATAGAAGGCTTGGGAGCCAGAGGAGGAAAGAAACTGAGCAGGGAAATGGCATCCAAGTCAGAGGACCACCAGGTACAACAGCATAAAAGGCTCCCAGTGTTACATGATTCATGAGTGGAGTGTTCATTACTGTATTGTTTTTAGTTACGATGAAAAATTCCAAACAAACTAAACGTCCATCAACAGAGAATAGGTTAACTCACCAGAATATGTTAAACAGCTACACTGATGTCATTAAGAACGGTAAAACACCTGACTTGGAAAACATTCATGTCATAGTGATAAGTGAAAACTGAGGTTTTCCACTGGTGTTTGGTCTGATCGCACTTTTAAAATGTGATACCTATTTAAAAATAGATAAATAAAATTAAAAAAATAAAACACTGTTTATTCTTCCACACACACACACACACACACACACACGCAGCTAAACCGCTGCGCCACCCAGGGATCCCTGCTCAATATATTCTTAACGTGGGGATCCCTGGGTGGCTCAGCAGTTTGGTGCCTGCCTTCAGCCCAGCGTGTGATACTGGAGTCCTGGGATCGAGTCCCACATCAGGCTCCCTGCATGGGGCCTGCTTCTCCCTCTACCTGTGTCTCTGTGTCTTCCATGAATAAATAAATAAATAAAATCTTTAAAAAAAATAAAAATAAAAAATAAAGTATCTATAATTATGATCCTAATTATTTAAAAAAAAAAAAGAATGAAAGGGATGCCTGGGTGGCTCAGTGGTTGGGTGTCTGCCTCTGGCTCAGGGAGTGATCCTGACCCTGGGATCAGGTGCATTGGGCTCCCCACGGGGACCCTGCTTCTCCCTCTGTCTGTGTTTCTGCCTCTCTCTCTCTCTGTCTCTCTCATGAATGAATAAAGTCTTTAAAAAAAAAAAAAAACAGAATAAAAGGAAGGAAGGAACTCAGCTACGGTTAGAAAAAAATGTAGAAAAAAAATGCACCAAGATTAATAGTAGTTGTATCCTGGGGTGTGAGATCACAAAGATACGGGTTTTTCTGCCTTCTTCCAATGTTTCTGAATTCTATAGTGAGCAGGTGTTGATTTTAGAATCAACAAAAACATACAAGATGCATGAGACAAAACTCATCTAGTCTGGCTGGCATAAGACAGTGGGGTGAGGTGGTGGGGAAGAGATGGAGATGTGTAAAGGAGAGAAAAGTTGGACTTGACCTCTTAGGTGACAAAGGCCACAGAATGGGTTTCACAAAGGTGATATGCTGCCTGTAAGGAGCTCCCTGAGAAGCTGTCCCAGTGAGGGCCTCTGCATATGCCTCCCTCTCTAGTCGCCTAGCAGCACTTTCTCAGGAACCCCTGATGAACTCCCAGGCAGGTTAGATCCTGCTTGGCAGGTTTCACAGCCCTAATCTCCTCCCAAATGCTGCCTGCTACAATTTTACACTCTTCTCTCTTCTAAATGATTACTTGATCATTATGTGGAGACTTTGTTCATGCTCCTTCTTCATTGGGTCATGAGCTCTGGGCCTTTGCCTCAGCTTACTACCATGCCCCCCAGAGGGGAGTGCTTAACATTCTCCTCCACACCTAGTAAAGTAGTTACTCATCTCTATTCCACAATTGAGTAGTTGAGATACTGAGAGGTTATGTAAAAGCCTACTGAGCTCACACAGCCAGAAACTGATGGCCAGCATTCATTCTCCTTTTTTCATTTCACAACAGAAAGGTTGGCCAGGTATGAGCCTCCCATTTTCTAGAAGGGGAAGCTGAGGTTTCAAAGAATGAAGGAACTCTGCCCAGGAATTCAGGACAAGGATGGAGCTAGGCTTCAGACTGGTCTTTTTTTTTTTCAGACTGGTCTTCTAAAACTCTACCCCTGTGCTCCTCCCCAAATCCTTGCTTCCGTGCATAGCCATGGACTTTATACAGCACTCCCCCAACCCCTGCAAGGAGCCAAGTCCCTCCCCTCCTCCCCTGGGTCCCAGGTGCCTAGATGTCCTCTGTAGCTGGCACAAAGTACACGGTGCAAGGGCTGAAATAATCTCTCAGCCCTTTGGAAGACCTGCTCCAAAACAGAGCCCCTCTAACATCCAGGGATTGGCCAGGTTAGCAAGGAGGCAGGACACCTGCTCACGGGAATGTTTATGCAGTCCTTAAGAGCCAGGCAACAGAGATGCCAGGGCCCCCAAGGGAAGACTTATGCCGTATCAGTGAAAGAAGTACAGAGATACACAGGTTCTGTGCACAAGTTCAATCCTGGGGAGAGTCACAGGCACATGGCGAGTTTGGAAGAATAAGCACCAAAACGGACAAGCAGAGACAGGAAAGGATGGGGACCACTGCTGAGTGGATTCTCTCACTTGGTTTTCAATCCAAATGGGGTTCCATGTAACTCAAATGTGGTTTAGGGATGTGTCCCAATACTCCTGAATAACCAGCTGTCAAGAGGCTGGGCGGCAGGGCTCGCCTTTCAGCCTCCACTGCCTCCACAAAGTAACAAGTTCCATGTTTACTATGCAGCCATGGAAAGCAGAAAGGCCTTTCCTTAGTCCTTAAATGACTTACTGGGGAGAAAAGAGCCTTGTTCCAAGCATCATGGCTTCCTCACACAGGCCTTCCTCTCCTGACTATGCCAGCTCACTGCCAGCCAAGGTGGAGGCCCTTTCTGGGCCCAGGATCCGGCTGCCAGGCTCCTCCACACCACATTCAAGGCTGTCTGCACTGGGCTCCCTATGGCACCCTGATTCCTTCTTGCCCAAGCCCACCCTATGTGTCTCAGCTCCTGTGCCTGACTCACGTGATACTCCCTGCGTCTACTGCCCTCTCCCCTACAATGACAGTTCAACTACCTTATCCATGGGGACTTCCGGGGCCCTCCTAAACCAGAAATGATCCCTTTCCCTTGCCCTATTTCTCACAGCTTTCTGTTCACGTTGCTCATAGTATGCTTCACCTTCTACCCCCTGGCAGTTGAGTACCACCTTCCTACTCCATCTTAGGAGGTCCTCAGAGGCCGGGGCTGTAAGCTGGGCATCCCTGGTGACCAAGAAAATGGGAGGCAACATGTCCAGCCTGAGCTGGTTAACTAGTGATCTGCACAGATTTTAAAGCTAGACAAGCTTGAGCTCTAATCCTAGCTCCATTACCTGTATCTGTGCCCTTAGGCAAGTCCTATTATTTCCCAGGGCTTCACTTTTCCAATCTACAAAATGGGGATGAGACCTACCTCAAGGACTCTTGTGAGGATAAACTTCCTTAAGTCAGGCACTTAAAGAATGCCTGACTCAGCATTCAGGGAATGGCATTTAATAGCAAATTCAGGGGATCCCTGGGTGGCTCAGTGGCTTAGCACCTGCCTTCGGCCCAGGGCATGATCCTGGAATCCCAGGATCGAGTCCCATCCCGCATTGAGCTCCTTGCAGGGAGCCTGCTTCTCCCTCTACCTGTGTCTCTGCCTCTCTCTCTCCCTCTCTGTCTCTCATGAATAAATAAAATCTTAAAAAAAGGGGGATCCCTGGGTGGCTCAGCAGTTTAACGCCTGCCTTTGGCCCGGGGCGCAATCCTGGGGTCCTGGGATCGAGTCCCATGTCGGCTCCCGGCATAGAGCCTGCTTCTCCCTCCTCCTGTGCCTCTGCCTCTCTGCCTCTCTCTCTCTCTCTCATGAATAAATAAATATTTTTTTAAAAATCTTAAAAAAAAAAAAGCAAATTCATCTTTACTGAACTGAGCTGTCTACTGACAAACACAAGAATAGGGACTTAGCTGACCTCTGTTAAAATCCCAGCTCTGGGGATGCCTGGGTGGCTCAGCGGATGAGCTTCTGCCTTCGGCTCAGGGTGTGATCCTGGAGACCCGGGATCGAGTCCCGCATCGGGCTCCCTGCATGGAGCCTGCTTCCCCCTCTGCCTGTGTCTCTGCCTCTCTCTCTCTCTGTATCTCTCATGAATAAATAAATAGATTTAAAAAAAAAAATAAAATAAAATAAAATCCCAGCTCTGCTACTTACCAGCTAGATGACCTTGGGCAAGTTAGGTTTTCCAAATCTCTTCTCCTTATTTATAAAATGGTAACATTTCTACATCCCCCCCCTCAGGGATGACGTGTGATCGGAAGTGATAACAGCACAGGGAGGGACTCTGTAAATGTTAAGGCCCTTCAGAGACATCAGGAATGTGCACTGCCATGCTCCTGACAACCTGAGAACTCCAGTTTCTGAGGCAGGGCAGGGGAGCAAGCTTGCCTGCAATCCATGACAACCAGGCAAGTCCAGACCAGTTTCCCTGGTTGGGCCAGAACCTCAAGAGTCCTTACAAGTGCTGGCGTAGGTGCCTTCACTTCCAAATGTCAGGGGATTCAGGGTTGACCAGTGTTAGCCATGCTTTGGCCAGGGATGAACAAACAAGGCCTGCATTCTGCTTCCTAATTCCCTCCAGTCCTGGTTCCTATACACAGACAAGAACATCCCTCCCTCTTCCAGGGGCATTCCGTTGCACGGACCAGACCTCCCAAGAGGGCCTTACCTCTGGGAAAGCCAACCAGTATTCCCAAAACCAGTCTGGGATCATAGTGGTAAAGGTGGGAAGTAAGAAGTCAGGGACTAGACCCCGACACTGCTGTTGTGATCCTTTGTTGTTTACTATCTCCTCCCACTAAGACATAAAGTGGCCCTTCCCACCAGCCAACCTAAGCTGTCACCAGCAAGGATGGCCTCCAAAAACATGATGACTAGCAGGGAAGCCTATATACGACCTTGTGGGCACATCTTTGAGCCTCACTCTAAAAGGGACCCAAAACTATCTCACAGAGCTACTAGGTAACAAACGTGATAATGTAGCTAAACAAGCTGGAACAGGAGTCATTGGCACACTCCCTTTCCTCCCTTGGGCCAGCCCAAGCAGGAACTCACCATCTTCCGCAGTGTTGAGTTTGAGGCTCTTGCCCTTGAAACTCAGCTGACCCCCAGCCACCTGGGTTTTGGCAAGTGTCTCTGCTAGCTTGGCAATGTCTTCAGAGGCCATGCTGGCCACGTTGCTGGGCTCCCCCGGAAATCTGCAAACTGAGCAGGATGAAGTTTCATTAAGAGACAGGAGTCTCCTGGGGCCCCCTGGTTGGGGAGGGCAGGGTAGGGCATCAGCCCTTTCAGGGGCTTAACACCCCCTCCTCCATGGAGACTCAACTAAACTACTGGGAGAAATGAAAACACTATTAGGTAAGGAACAATTCTAGAAAGGTGGAGAAAGTGACAAGAGTAGTAAAATCATGTTTTAGCCCCTGAAGGATTACTAGCTTATTTTAACTCCTCGCCTGCCCCAATGGCCCTAGCTGGGACACCAAGCACAGCCATCTGAGCTGCCCATCTTCTGGGCTCCCAGTGAATGGTAGTTGGGCCCAGACCAATAGCTGCAATGCAAAGAGCTTACTCCAGGCACACACCTGCCTGATCATCCTGGCTGCTCTCTGTTTGAGGGTCCCATTCCTCAAACAGGACTAGGATAGCTAAGGGATCCAGGTTATCCATCCCGCGAAATGCCCCACCACCCACGCTGGCATGTCTCTGGGGATGGGGCACAGGTGTCAGCCCACTGCCTGTCTGGTTTCAACCTTAGCCAGAAGACTAGGCAACCCATGGTGGCCAAACCTCAGGGGTTCCTAGGAAACCAGAGGTCTCTACATCACAACAGCCACCATCACAATAGACCAAGGGCAGAGCTGCTGAAGAAAGGAGCTTCTGGCCTGGAAGAACTCGACAGATTGGCAGAAAAGACCACTCCATTTCCCTAAAGAGGAAATGGCAGGTCATCAGGGGAGACCAAGGATGATGGATATGGAAGACAGAACGAGGAAGGGCCCACAAAAACTCCTTCTTACCCAGAACATGTCCTTCCCCAATCTATTCATCCTCAAGATACAACTGTAATGGCTCCCCAATCCTCCAACTCCCCCCAGGCTTCCTCTGGGCTCCTATAGCCAGCCTCCCACCTCCTTCTCCTTATCTTAACCCTGATCACCCTGGCTTGCCAATCTTTACAAATATGTATGAATTATTCTCCTAGATAAGAAGGCGCTACTCATTCATTCAATAAACATTTATTGGGTATTACTATGTTCTGGACGTTGCTCTAGATACCAGAACCAAGCAGTGAATGAAGCAAAAATACTGCCCTCTCTCTTTTTTTATAAGATTTTATTTTTATTTATTTATTTTTTAAGATTTTATTTTTTTAAGTAATCTCTATGCCCAACATGGGTCACAAACCCACAACTCTGAGATCGAGTCACATGTTCTACCAAATGAGCCAGCTGGGCACCTCTTAAAACATGTGTTCTAAATACGATATGTGGAATCTTATTTGTGTAAGTGATAAAAACAAACAGAGAAGGGGGTAAGGAGTTTTAAGGGGGTTGCGATTTATTTATTTATTTATTTATAAAGATTTTATTTATTCATGAGAGACATAGAAAGAGAGATAGAGACATAGGCAGAGGGAGAAGCAGGCTCCCTGTGGGAAGCCTGATGTGGGAATTGATCCCAGGACGTTGGGACCCTGGCATCACGCCCTGAGCCAAAGGCAGACGCTCAACCACTGAGCCACTCAGGTGCCCCGAGGGGGTTGCAATTTAAAACAGATTGGTCCAAAAAAAATAAATAAATAAATAAAAATAAAAATAAAACAGATTGGTTAGAGAGGCACCTGATGGCTCAGTAGGTCAAGTGTTCAACTATTGATCTCAGCTCAGGACTTGATCTCAGGGTCATAAGTTCAAGCCCCACGCTGGGCTCCAGGATGGGCATAGTACCTAGGTTAAAAACAAACAAACAGGGAAGCCAGGGTGGCTCAGGGGGTTTAGCACCGCCTTCAGCCCAGGGCGTGATCCTGGAGTCCCAGGATCAAGTCCCACGTCAGGCTCCCTGCATGGAGCCGGTTTCTCCCTCTGCCTTGTCTCTGCCTCTCTCTCTCTCTCTCTCTCTCTCTCTCTCTCTCATAAATAAATGAAATATTTAAAAAACAAACAAACAAAAAGACCCACAATAACAACAAACCAGAACGGTTAGGAAGATATTAGGAAAGAAAGACTTGGAGGTCATCAGATTAGGCCAGGCAGATATCTGGGGGAAGAGCATTCCTGCAAACAGAATAGCTAAAGCAAAGGCTTTCATGGGGGGAAGGAGAGATCCGAGGAACTGCAAGGAGACCTGTGGGGCTGGAGTGCAGAAGAGGGAAGGAGAAAGAAAGCAAGAAATGAGAAAAGAGAATCAGCAAGAGGCCCAAGTCGCAAAGGCCATTTAAAGAATGCAGCTTTTACTGAGTGAAAAGGAGAGCCACTGGTGGGTTTCTAGCAGAGAAGACCAGACTCTGACAGATGTTTTGACAGCAACTTAGGGCCTGGCATCTAGAAGGTACCCCAAGAATGAAGAGATGAAGCTGGGGGGACGGGGGGGGGGGACCCTAGCCTGAAACCCAGCCACCACTTGCAATTCTGGGAATGGGACAATTTTCGGCAAAAAAAAAAAAAAAAATGGTGGTGGGGCTCCCAGACACGTTCCTACTGGAACACACCGCTCCTCTGCTGGAAAGGGGCCTATTCCTCAGTCCACTACACGCACGCACCATCCACTTTAAAGACTAGGAGGCCAAAGCACAGAGAGTGCTTGAGCTGTCCAAGGTCTGCACAGGGTCAGCCGCAGAGCAAAGACAAGCAGGCGATACGCCAACAGCGCTTTCCTTTCCCGGCACCAAAGCCGCAGATTTTCTCGGGTGCGCATCTCTGGCTCGTGCGAAGCGTCCGCTGCGACTCATGCCGATTCCGCGGCCACGGCGGCAGCCCGGGCCCTCGGCGGGCGTGGGGCCACTGGGAAGCGGCGGCAGGGGAGCGACGAGCGACGCGCGACGCGGGCCGCTAATGACAGGCGGGAGGCGCGGGAGCCCCATCCGGGAGCCCGGGAGGCCGCGCACCGCCCCCAGTTGTCACCGACGCCTAGGAGGGACGCCAGTGCCGGCAGCTGCGCCAAACGCCCTCGCCAAGCCTCAGTTTCCCCATCTGGGAAAGGGGCCTGCGCCCCCCAGCACCACCTCTCTCAGCCCCTCCGCGCTCAGCCGCCAGAGCGCAGGGAGAGAAGGCCCAGAAGACCCCCCCGCCGAAGGCGCTCAGGGGCGCCACACCTTCCCCGCCCAGCTGCAGGGCCGCGCCGCCCCCCGCCCCCCTCCCAGGCAGGTGACGGGGAAAGGAAGTGGACCCCGACCCTCACCGTAAACAGGCGGCGCCGCCGCGTGAGGAGACCTAAGCGCGCGCGTCCGCCCGGCAGGGGCGGGGACTGATTTAGGGTCCGGGTCAGGTCAGGTCGGGGTCGCCGCCTCCGAGCCCAGAGGTCCCGGTACGCGGCGTGCTCTTCCGTCAGCTCTGCCGGCTTCTCGCCACTCCCGTCTCCGACACCACCTGCTCCCCGCACGGTGGCGGATGATGGCGGAGGAGGAGGATTTTGAAAGCCGGCAGTTTCTTTCCTTCGATTTGATTTGTTCGAGGCCCAGGCCGAGTTCCCCTTCCCTCGCACGCGCGGCCTATCGGGTATGGTAGTCCAGTTCTTCTGTGCGGGCCGCGGCGGCCGCGGCAGGGGCGCGCCCGCGAACTACCAGTCCCGTGATGCACCGCATCCCAGCGCGCCTCCGCCGGCTCCCTCTGCGCCCTCCCTTTTCAGCTTCTGGCTCTTTCTCCAGGAGGCCACAGGGCGGCGTGTAGCCCGGAGAGCCCAGAGACTACAATTCCCGTGATGCCCTGCGGTCCAGCCGACTCAGCCCTTCCGGAAAGGTTCACATTCAATAACTTTATTGACAAACTCCCGAAGGCGAGCGACTGGATTTGTTCAGCGACAAATAGGTATCTATTTCCTCAAAGGAGAGCCTCGTCTTTTTTCCTCCCATGAAATTGAGAGGTCATTGGAAGTCTTTCACATAAGGAGCCGCAAGTTATTTGATAATTAAAAAGGGGAACTAGTTACGCTATGATAGAGAAGCTGAGACACCATCTTAACCGAATCGTCCACGTTAACATCAGTGGCACGACAAACCGACGTCCATTGCACACCTGCTGATGTGATGCACTGAGAAGGACACAGCGTCACCATGCAGCCAGTGCATAAAATTAATCTAATCCTGAAGAAGCATCAGCCAAACCCAAACTGAGTTACAGTTTCTTTGCTACAGAATAACTGATCCGTACCCTTGCAAAAATGACTGTCATGAAAGACAAAGAAAATCTGAGGAACTGTTGCAGACTAAAGGAAACTGAAAAGACGTGACAACTAAATGCGATCAATGCTTGTACGTTGGATCCTGGGCTGGGGAGTATATTACTATAAAGGGCAATATTGAGACAATTAGCAAAACTTGCTGCGTCTTAGCTGATAGTATTGTATCAATGTTAAATTTGTTGATTTGTATTATTGTGCTGGGTTATGTAAGAGACTGCCCTTACTCTTGAGAACGTATGCTGAAGTAATAGCGGTGTGATATCAGCAACAGACTGGCCACTGGCTCAAAAAATGTATATATACATGGAGAGAGAGTGCAAATGTGTCCAGATGTTCAAAATAAGTGAATCTGGGTGAGGGGTAGATGGGAGTTCTTTGAACACTTCTGCCATTTTCTTGTAGGTTTGAATTTTTTAGGTATCAGAACACAAATAACTTTTCTTTTTTTTCTTTTCGCAAAGAACATTTATCCATTATATAAATAACATGTGTTTGCTATAAATACTTCAACCAACATAGAACAGGATAAAGAGAAAAGTAAACATTACCCCAGAAACTCTAGCACTCAGAGATAATCACCATCAACATATGCAGCCTTCTCCAAAGTCACCTCTCACAACTTGGCCCACGCATATGCTTTTGCTTTACCTGCAATTGAAAGTTAAATAGATTATGTGCCAGATCTTTTCACACACAGTTAATTCAATCTTTACAACCACAAAGGAAGCAGACACCATTGCCACCCCTTTCAGCACAGAGATGAGAAAACAAGCTCCATACCCTGGTTCACGCCACTACTGAGATGTGGGCCCACTTTTCACCCTCCCTGTCGTCCTCTGCCTACAAGGCCCATGTCAAATGCCACCTCCTCCGGGAGGCTTTTCTACATCACTCTGTCCAGAATGAGTCATCTTGCTCTGGGCCCCAAAGCACACTGCAAGCCCTCACAGCAGTCGATATGCAGCTCTGAGGGCTTTTTCACAACATTAATAGTATCATTGGCAGTGTCTTTATCCACCTGGGAGAGCCTTGGGGCAGCTATCATACCCATCTTGGCAGCATCTTTTCCCAGATTCACCTGTCATAGCTGCTTTACGTTTCCTCATTTGAACTGGATTCCGGGGGATCCCTGGGTGGCGCAGCGGTTTGGCGCCTGCCTTTGGCCCAGGGCGCGATCCTGGAGACCCGGGATCGAGTCCCACGTCGGGCTCCCGGTGCATGGAGCCCGCTTCTCCCTCTGCCTGTGTCTCTGCCTCTCTCTCTCTCTCTCTCTCTGTGACTATCACAAATAAATAAAAAAAAAAAAAAATTGAACTGGATTCCGATCAGGGTCACTGGATGTTTGCTTAAAATGAGTCATCATCTGAGAAGGCTAAGATGCTCCCAATTAGGCCTGATGCTATTTCTGTGCTGATTACCACTCGGACTGATCAAATCAGTCTGGATTTTCCTTGGGGTGATCCCCAGCCTCCTTTGTCCAGTTTTACTTCCTAAGGCCTCCCTTGGCCCTCTGACAAAGACCTCCCAAAGGGAAGAGGAGGGCAGATGGTACAACATATATTTTTTAAAGGTTTTATTTATTTATTCATGAGAGACATAGAGAGGCAGAGACACAGGGAGAGGGAGAAGCAAGCTTCCCGCGGGGAGACTGATGCGGGACTCGATCTGAAGACCCAGGATCGGGCAGCCCTGGTGGTGCAGTGGTTTGGTCCTGCCTGAAGCCTGGGGTGTGATCCTGAAGACCCGGGATCAAGTCCCACGTTGAGCTCCCTGCGTGGAGCCTGCTTCTCCCTCTGCCTGTGTCTCTGCCTCTCTCTGTGTGTGTGTGTCTCTCATGAATAAATAAATAAAATCTTAAAAAAAAAAAAAAAAAGACCCAGGATCATGACCTGAGCCAAAGGCAGACGCTCAACCGCTGAGCCACCCAGGTGCCCCTAATCAGTAAAACATCTTAAGTGATCTCCCCATCCTCGCCAAGCCAATAATCTAAGGTTTTCAGGACTAGAAGGGAATTCTTAGCAGAAACAACAATGGCCTTCAGAGTCGGCCTGGCTGGCTCAGTCCATAGAACATGCAAGCCTTGATCTCAGGGTCATGTGCTCAAGCTCCATGCTGGGTATGGAGTCTACTTAGAATTAAAAAAAAAAAAAGGAAAGAAATTTAAAGTAAGACTCTTGACCCCGATCTAATTTAAGAAGAAAGAAAAAGAAACAGTGGCCTTCAAGGGCCAGAGAGGTATTAGGAGGTAATGGGAGCCTGGTGGAGCTTGTGGAGAACCAGAGTAGATGTCCTGCTCTAATGTGTTCACATCCAAAGCTCAAAATCACCAGACCAGCCAGACATCACTGCTTAGCAATCCAGATTCTGTTTGTTACTCCTGAATCTAGATTCTACCTCAAACCACTTTAAAATGGGAAGACTGAGGGATCCCTGGGTGGCTCAGCGGTTTAGCGCCTGCCTTTGGCCCAGGGCGCAATCCTGGAGTCCCGGGATCAAGTCCCACGTCAGGCTCCTGGCATGGAGCCCGCTTCTCCCTCCTCCTGTGTCTCTGCCCCCCCCCCCTCTCTCTCTCTCTCTCTCTCTCATAAACAAATAAATAAATCTTAAAAAATAAATAAAATGGGAAGACTGAGGTTTAAAAAGATGAAGAAGGTTCCCCAAGGGTACACAGTGAGTCAGAGTTGTCCCGAGACATCAGTGTTTCCAAGCAACACATGTGTATCATCTCTCCACTTTCTGCAGCTCTCTCTCCCTTCAACGTTATCACCTGAGGGCTAGTTTGTTTGCCAAGAGCAGTAAATGGAATCATAGCCTTTGACAGATAGAGCCATTTCACACCACCCCTTTCTTCTTTTCAACAGGCAAAGAATTGAGGACCAAAGAGGGTAAAAAAATCTGCCCAAATTACACAGTAATTTAGACAAGAGATTGTAGATTTTTTTTAAGTAAGCTCTGTGCCCAACATGGGGCTTGAACTCACAACCCTGTCATCAAGAGTTGCATGCTCTATCAACTGAATCAGCTAGGTACCCCCAAGATAAGAGACAGCAGAAGCCAGATCCCTGGGGTCCTTTTCAATAGACATGCAAAACAAGTCATTTTGTGAGTATGAGGTGGGTATAAGGGGAAAAGGGAATGCTTTAGACCTTTCTGTCTTTGTTATGCAGCTTTTCTTTCCTCTTTTTTAAAAGAATGTTTTGAAGAAAAAAAGCAGGCTTCCTCTGATTCGTTTGGTTTACTTTGACTGAGTGTTTTAAATTCCGTTGTGGTGCCTGAAAGCAAACTTAATTGCTAATTGTAAGTGGAATAAATAACAATATTTATACTGGTTTCCTGAAGAGCTACCAAGGCTGCAGACTTGCCATTTAGTGAGATCAAAAACAAATGCCTGAATTATGCCAGACATGTGAGGAATGTGGAGAGAAATTCTCAAGATCCAGCTGGGTACGGGTGCTCGCCTAGGGCCCCTAGAGAAAGGTGGTGGGCTTGGCCCACCAGTATTGCAAGGGAGCTGTCCCCTCATCCCCAAGGGTCACCACCCCTGGTGGGAAGGGGTTGCTACATTATCTGTTAAAGACCACTCAAACCACATTCCCCCCTAGGTTCAAGCCCAGGGCTCCCCATCAGAATACATGACCTTTTCAAACTTTGATAAATAACAGTAAAAATAATTCATTCCCCCCACAAATAGTAATCGAGTATCCACCATGTACAAGGCACTGTTCTGGCTCTGGGAATCCAAAGGTGAGTGAGACAGAAAAGGATGTTGTCTGGAGGAGCTTAAATTAGGATCTAACGTTTCTGGAGAGTTTCCTGACACCAAATGCTTTTGGTAGATTATTTTTTCTTTTAAAAATTATCTTGGGGGATCCCTGGGTGGCTCAGCGGTTTGGCGCCTGCCTTTGGCCCAGGCCGGGATTCTGGAGTCCCGGGATCGAGTCCCGCGCCGGGCTCCGGCATGGAGCCTGCTTCTCCCTCTGCTTGTGTCTTTGACCCTCTCTCTCTCTCTCTCTCTCATGAATAAATAAATAAATCTTAAAAAAAAAAATTCTTTTGTTCCAGAGTGCCTGGGTGGCTGGTTCAGTTGGTTAAGTGTCTGCCTTTGGCTCAGGTCATGATCTCAGGGTCCTGGGATGGAGCCCCACATTGGGCTCCCTGCTCTGCAGGGAGTCTGGTTCTCCTTCTCCCTCTGCCCCTTCTCCTGTTCAAGCTCTCTCCCTCTAATACATAAAGTCTTTTTTTTTGTTGTTGTTGTTCCTTGGGATGCCTGGGTGGTGTAGTACGTTAAGTGACTGACTGTTGGTTTCAGCTCAGGTTGTGATCTCAGGGTCCTGGGATCGAGCCCCCACCTCAGGCTCCATACCCAGCATGGAGTCAGCTTCAGATTCTCTCTCCCCTCTTCCTGTGCCCGTGCCTGTGCTCTCTCCTCTCTCAAATAAACAAATACATCTTTAAAAACAATAAAATAGGGGATCCCTGGGTGGCGCAGCGGTTTGGCGCCTGCCTTTGCCCCAGGGCGCGATCCTGGAGACCCGGGATCAAATCCCACGTCAGGCTCCCGGTGCATGGAGCCTGCTTCTCCCTCTGCCTGTGTCTCTGCCTCTCTCTCTCTCTCTGACTATCGTAAATAAATAAAAAATTAAAAAAAATTTTAAAAACAATAAAATAAAAAATCTTTTGGTTCAAAATGGAAATAATTTTCTAAATAAATACGGACACAAAAAATTTAAAAATAGTATAATTGCAAAAGACCATTAAGAATAAAGTTAAGGGGGAAAAAAAAAGAATAAAGTTGGGTGCCAGACTGGCTCAGTCGGTGGAGTATGTGACTCTATTTTTTTTTCTTTAAAGCTTTTTTTAAAACTTTTATTTATTTATGATAGTCACACACAGAGAGAGAGGCAGAGACACAGGCAGAGGGAGAAGCAGGCTCCCTGCACGGGGAGCCTGATGTGAGACTCGATCCCAGGTCTCCAGGATTGCGCCCCGGGCCAAAGGCAGGTGCTAAACCGCTGCGCCACCCAGGGATCCCGGGAGTATGTGACTCTTGATCTCAGAGTTGTGAGTTCGAGCCCCACATTGGGCCTAGAGTTTACTTTAAAAAAAAAAAAAAAGAATAAATTAAAAATTCCGTTTTTTTTTAATTTTTTATTTATTTATGATAGTCACACACAGAGAGAGAGAGAGGCAGAGACATAGGCAGAGGGAGAAGCAGGCTCCATGCACCGGGAGCCCGATGTGGGATTCGATCCTGGGTCTCCAGGATCGCGCCCTGGGCCAAAGGCAGGCGCCAAACCGCTGCGCCACCCAGGGATCCCTTTAATTTTTTATTTATTTTTTATTTATTTATGATAGTCACACACAGAGAGAGAGGAGAGAGAGAGAGAGAGAGAGCCTGTTTTGTTTTGAAAAAAATTTTTATGCAGATTGATGGGTGGATGGATGGATGAATGAGTGGATGATCAAGCAACATAGCAAAGTGTTAACGTTTGTAGCATAATCTAGTGGATGTGAGTATTCACTGCTTTCAGCTTTCTGTATCTTGGCCATTTTCATAATAACACGTTGGGGACAACGTGACCATGTTTTATTGCCTGGTTTCCTCCCTTCCTCCCTGCATATGCTAGGCTGGGGGCTAGCCTATCTCAGCCTCTAGGTTCATGAGTCCTCTCCACTTTTCTCTTTTTAAGTCACTCTCACCTTTGAGAATCTGAATTCTCTGGACTAGTTCCCAGAAGAATGTATTATTTATTTTTAGTTAATCACACAGTTATCAATGTTTTGCACGCAAGGACTCATTTAATCCTCATGACCTGTGGGGACCCAGTGGGGAAAGTGCTCTTTATATCACTGACCTAAGCTTTAAGTTATGCATCACATCTTCAGGGCCTTTCTCTAAACCCCAAATTAAGATCCCTTGCTGGAGGGCTGGGACCTGGGACTATGCGGGAGCTGTGGGGCCCCAGGGTTTCTCTCCATGGGGCCTTGCAATGAACATTTGTTGAGTGACTGAATGAACATTGCACATGCTTGCAGGAAAGGCTGCCATACATGCATAGACTCTCCACCAGGAGATAGTGAGGCATCTCTGAGGGCCAGACCACAACAGGTGTGAGCTCAGTAGAGGAGGTGCTCCTTGGAGAAGGGATAACTGAACACCATAACTGTTAGTTCCTCAGAGGTAAGAACATGAGTGTCTGATTTCCATTCTCCAGCAACCCTCTTACGTGACTGGTCCTCAGGGGTGATCAGGGATGCATTCAAACTTAAGATGTCCCCATTAAAAAAAAAAAAAAAAAGATGTCCACATCATGGGGCAGTGGTGGCAGCTTTATAGGTAGACAAGCCTGGGTCTGAATTCTGTCTCTGCCTCTTTCTTAGCTGTGTAACTTTGACCAAATCACTTAACTGCTTTGTGTCTGTTTTTTCATCCAAAACCGGTCAAAATAATCCCTACCTTATAGGATTTTTAGAGGGAAGGGGATAAGAGAATCAACATATACAAAGTACTTGGTCCATAGTAATTAAGAGTTGGTGGTTGGGGACTCCTGGGTGACTCAGTAGTTGAGCAACTGCCTTTGGCTCAGGTTGTGACCCTGGGGTCGTGGGATTGAGTCCCACATCGGGCTCCCCGCAGGGAGCCTGCTTCTCCCTCTGCCTGTGTGTCTGCCTCTCTCTGTGTGTCTCTCTTGAATAAATAAATAAAATATTTTTTAAAAAGAGAAAGTGGCTGTTATTTCTAATTAGGCTTTAATATGCGGACATAGAACATTTGCTGCCCAATGACATTTGCCTTCCCAGAAAACAATCAACTAGCACCAGCCTCAAGGATTTTCTCTCAAAAGCACTACCACATAGGTCTGTTATCTTGTAAAGTCCCATTTACCATCTCAGGCAGCATTGACACTTTACCTGGTTGATGTCAAATCAAAGTGGAGAGCTGATGTCCAGCTGAATCCCCTTTAAATGATGGACAGTCTTCTAAGGATATGTGCTATTTTTAAAAAAAAATTTTTTTTTATTATTTATGATAGTCACACAGAGAGAGAGAGAGAGAGAGGCAGAGACATAGGCAGAGGGAGAAGCAGCCTCCGTGTACTGGGAGCCCAACGTGGGATTTGATCCCGGGTCTCCAGGATCATGCCCTGGGCCAAAGGCAGGTGCTAAACCACTGCGCCACCCAGGGATCCCAGACATGTGCTATTTTACTGGCGGCTTGGGATGGTGGAATCACATCATTTACTAGCTAGTTCATTTGAGCAAGTTGTGGGGATCCAACTGGCCTCAGCATCCTCCTCTGTAACATGGGAGTGATAGTAACAGTGGTGCCTAAATCTGATCTATTGTCAAGAGTGTCTGACTGTAAATTGTACAGGGAGTATATATATTAGGTATTCTTATCCTTATTTTACAAATGTGGAAATTGATACTGTGATTGTCCATGATCACCCAGCTAGCAAGAGGCGGGAGCTGGGACTCCGACCCACCCTGGTCTTCCTAATGCCACCATACCACCCCACCTCCCTAAATTGCCAGGATCTGCCTGTAGCTGCCTTTAACCCATGATCTTGGGTCTATCCCAGGTGACCAAGGGATTGAATTCCCACAAAATATCAGAACCCCCAAGAAGTGCTTGTCAGAAATGCTGAATTAGAGTCTCTTGACAGCAGGGAATTAGAAATCTTTATTTTATTTTATTTTATTTTATTTTATTTTATTTTATTTTTCATTTCATTTCATTTTATTTATTTTTTTTAAGATTTTATATATTTATTCATAGAGACAGAGTGGCAGAGACACAGGCAGAGGGAGAAGCAGGCTCCATGCAGGGAGCCCGACCTGGGACTCGATGCTGGGTCTCCAGGATCATACCCCAGGCTGAAGGTGGCACCAAACTGCTGGGCCATCAGGGCTGCCCGGTGTGTTTAAATGTTAAAAATTTGTCCCATCGATGTATCCCCAGCTCCTAAGATGTGTCTGACACGAGCATTTGGGGAAGAGATAACATTTATAAAGTCTGCCGGCTCACAGCTGATCCTCCATAAATTAAATACACACATATGTATGTGTATATACATAGATACACATGCACACACGTAAGTATGTGTGTATATATATATATATGCGCATGTGTATGTATGTACAAAACTAAGAGAGGGAAAGATGGAAATTTGAGAGAATTCTCACAGGATGTGGGAGTCCCCTGGACTCAACGGAGCAGGTAGTGGTAGCATGCACAACACTGTATTTGGAGTAAGAAGCTCTGGATTCAAATTCCCACTGGTCCTGAGCAGCTCTGAGGCAGCGTCAGGGGTGCCATACAGCCAGTCTCTCTGGTTGATGCCCCTTTCCCTACTGGGTCTCCTCAGTTAGCCCCAGAATCCTTTCTGGAAAGATCTCAAACATAAAACAGCAGCCGATGGAAGGTCTGATTTTCCTCTGGGCCACCGGCCCTCCTCCGTGAAGAGGGTTTGGGGAAACCTTCAGGGAAAGCACCTGGCGACGCGGGGTTTTTTTTTCCCGCCGATGGGGTAGGGCCGAGGCGCGGAGTCTGACCAGCATCCGCCCTGAAATACAGACTTGACCGGGGGTGGGTGGGGGGGAGCCCTAAGAGGGGAGGCCACGTTCAAAGAAAATAAAGGTGGCTTCCAGGCATGAGCTCGGCACGGGGCAGGGGACTTCCCCGCCCCCAGGTGCGCCGCCCACCCCGGGCGCGAGGCGAGGGCAGCCGCGCTCTAGGACCGGGGAGGAAGAGCTGCGGGAGACGGTGCCTCCAGCGGGTGCTGCCGCGAGCGGCCGGCCGACGGCTGGAAATGAAAGTACAGCGCTCCGGAGCCACATGGACGGAGCTGCCGGGGCGGCGGCGCCGGGAGCAGGATGCGGCCGCCCGTAATTAAATAGCATTTACTCTTATTATTACTAATAATAATAACGTAATCATACCTCTAGTCATAGCATACCATTTATCGGGCTCGGCGCAGGCCCGCGGGGAGCGCAGCCCGGCCGAGGTGAGTGCTGCGCGCGGCCCGAGCCCCGCGGGGCAGAGGCCGGGGCCCGAGCGCGTCCCGGCGGCCGGCGCGGGAGGGCTCGGGGGCGCCCGGGGGCCGCGCCGGGCAGGGGGAGGCGCGGGGGGCCCGGCCGGGCCGGAGCTGCGCGGGGCCCCCCGTAAAGTGCATTTTGCAGAAATAAAGAGCGGCCAAAGCCTCATTTCCTCCTTTTTGGGGCTCCCCCCTCCGCGTCCCCGTGCCCTGCCCCGAAGTTTCAAAGTTGCGCGGCCGGGGGCACCTGCCGCGGGCTGCTTCGGCCGCCCCTGCGGCACCCGGCGGGGGGGGGGTGCCTTGCAATTTTCCTCCGTTGGGGGGGGGGCTCCCGCCTCGGCGTCCGGAGCTGTGGGGCGCGCGGATGCTTTGCCGGCCCCCGCGAAGGGGGTCCGGGGGGCCGGCGGGGGCGTCCCTGGCCGCGCGCCCCTGCCTTTTGTGTGCGTCCTGGCCCCGCAGCGCGGCGAGTTGGAGCGACCGCAGCACGGGCCGAGGACCGCGGCCGCCGACCGGTCGCCTCCGCCGGCTGCGGCGGCCACGCGAGCCCGGGGATCCGGGGCCTGCGGCCGGGCCCGGGGGGAGGGGTCGGCAGGAAAGGGGGGCGCGGTCTGGGCAGGGGGGCATTTCCGCTCGCGAGATCCACCCCCGGGCTCGGAGGCCTGAGCGGGGCGGGTCTCTGGGCCCGGAGCGCGCGGGTACCGCGGGGGGTGGGGTGGGGGGCGCCCCCCCGGAGATGGGCGCCCTAGGGTCACCGACCCCGGCCTCGGACCCTCCTCCCGCCCTTGGCGGGCCTCAGGGATCCCCCCTGTCTCCTGGGCCTGCTCCCTCCTATCCCTTTTAAAATCGGATGTTTATAATAACATGCCTAGTTTGGGGGGGGGGTGTCTTTCAACAGAGACAAAGCAGTTTTCCCAGGAGGAAAAAAAAGAAACAAAAACAAAACGGAGAAACGTTCAGTCTGCCCCTGATGGCTGTGGTGCCAGCATGGCATCAATGGGGAAGAGTAGGGTCTGGGGCTGGAGAGGGGGGCTGGGCCTGCACTGGGGGACTGGGGGGACCCACAGCATCTTTGTTGGGGATTTCACTTCTCTGGGGCTGCTCGCAGAGACTTTGGCGCCTGGGTTCCAGACTTTGAACCCCAACTTCTTACCATTTTCCTGGGCATCTGCAATTCATCCAGTCCCATGAAAATAGCAGAATGCAGATCCTTAGATTTTCACACAAATGGGATAATTATAGTACATTTAGCAACTGTCAGACCCAAGATTCCAGCGGAATCTTTACTTCTACTACCAAGACTACTACTGCCCCTCTCCCCACATACAGTCCTACCCACCAAAGTCTCCATTCCTCATTTTGACTTACTATAGAAATTGGACTGTGAGGTAGGAATGATACCTGGCCAAAACACTAAGGAGCAATTTTGAGGCATGTAATGCCTTGAGCTGAGAAGGAGAAATCTGTGTTGAGGAAGGATGAGGTCTGAGGATGGGAGAGAGATTTTGTGGTCGCTGAGCTGGCACAAGGGTTCTGTTCCACGGATGCTGTGAATCCTAGGCTCTGGGCTTTTTGTTTGGGATAGACAATTAAGAATGCAGGTGTGGGTGGATTATTTGGGGCTAAGGAGCTCTGTGAGATGAGCCAGTCTCTAGGAATAAGAAAGTTAAGACGTCGATAGGTTTGGATTCTGAGAATCTGAAAATAATAATCCCTTAAATAGAACTTTTTAGTTTATAACAAAAGGGCTTTCGCATATGCTGGCTCATCTGTCCTCCATAGCAACCATGTCAGGTAGACATTATTCAATCCTCATTTTCCAGATGAGAGACCTGAGGCTTCTAGAATCGAATGTCTCCCTGGAAAGTCACATAGCAGAGCTAGGATTCCCACTTAGTTTTTCCGACTCCAAATCTTCAGTCATCCCCAGAGTCCGCAGCCACCTTAGCAAGTTAGTTTTCAAATGCCCCCTGTGGGGCATGGTGAGATGCTGTGGGGCGGGCTTGGGGTTGAGTTTGTTACTTAGAGTCTGGCTGGAAAGAGAAAGTCACTTTTGGTAGAACCCATGAGAGGACCAAGAAATGCTCGATACTGGAGTCGATGCAGTGGGATTGAACGGAAGAGAGAGCTCTGAGGGTAACCGGGAAGAGTAGGGACGGCTTCCTCCAGGAAGTGGATCTTGAATTTGGAAGAATGGGGAGGTTTGGCTGGGAGAGGGAAGAGGAAGGGAATTCTTAGGCTCACCACGTTGCTTCAGTGCTGGGAGATTGACATACATTCTCATTGACTTTAACAGTGATTCTGTGAGGGGTGGGCATTTTTCTCTCCATTTCACAGATGGAGAAACTGAGGGACGCAGTATGAATGCAGTTGGTCCTATGTCATCCATCTGGATTGGAACCCAGGCCTTTGTGACTGTTGAGTGTCAGAATTGGGTGGCTTCCATTTCAAATGAGTAGACAAAGAGCAGAGACCCAGACAGTCTGATTTGGCACATGCAGTGGAGGTGGGGGCTTAAGCCCAAAGACCAGCAGGCTCCCCAAGGCAGGGGTGTTTTACGGAACTACCTTAGATCTCAGGGCCTCACAGGGCTGGCCCAGTGAAAGTACTAAAGGGATTTCTGGAAGCATTCCTGGAGAAGGCAGGATGGTGGTGAAGAAGGACTGGGCTCTGTTCACTTTCTTAGCGCCTGCGGGGGCCTGGCTAGACACTTTGAAGGAGCTTGTAGTTTGGAAAGGAGAAAGACATGGGTGATTAACCTGAGCTTCCCAAGGGCAGGAACGGGTTCTGATTGACCCCCTGTGCTCCAGGCCCCCGTGGAGGTGCCAGGAAGACCCATTCAGCCGACGTGTTGTCATATTGAATTATACCCCAGTGTAGAGGAGGAAGGTTTCTTTTGCCCTGGAGTGGAAGGTCTTCCTAGAAGAAGCACCATTTGAACATTTGAGAGGTGGGTTCAGAAAAGTCAGAGAAGGCATCCTGAGGAGAGGCGCTGAGGCCGGCAAAGGCAGGGCAGTGCAAAGAGGGAACCCACAGATCATTGGTTCGGCCACAATGTGGGTGGCAGGTGTCAGTTTGCATTCAAGTCAGGCTCTGCCACTGGGGTCCCTTGGGCTCCCTGGGCCTACATTGACCTTTCTGAAAACGAGCCCTGAGGTTTGATGGTATGATGATAATCTGTGGGAGAAACCCAGTGCCCGGGGATCGGGGCAGGAGAGTCCGATGCGAGGAACTATATGTGGAGAGGTTTTAAGATGTTTCTGGTTTTTAAAAAGACTTTATCCATTCTTTCATGAGAGACACAGAGAGAGAGGCAGAACATAGGCAGAGGGAGAAGCAGGGTCCCCGTGAGGAGCTGGGACCCCAGGACCACCATCCAAGCCGAAGGCAGATGCTCAACCTCTGAGCCACCCAGGTGCCCTGGTTTTAAAATGTTTAATCATGTAACCATTACCCAATCCAGCATTTTCTATGGTTGGGCCCTGTTGCGAGTGATTTTTCCTCAATAAGCTTACTTAATCTTTACAACAGATGCACAGGTAATAAGCACTGTGACTGTCCCCATTTTACAGATGAAGAAACTGTCGAGGGAGGTTAAGTGGCATTGTGTAAGTGGCAGAGCTGGAGAGCAGACCCAGGCTGCCTTGTGTTAGGGTTTGCTCGCCGTGGGACTAGGGACTGGGAGGGACGGACCGGGCAGCGGTAACTTCACAAGGCAGAGGTGGAGGTGTCCTCTGAGGAAGTCTGGCTGCAAGCCGAAGCTGGAGCCTCAGCCCGGGCTGATGAAGTGACTGCTACGTGTCGGCTCCCAGGAGCCTCCACAGAAGCCAGCTCCTTTCATCACATTTAATGGCCCATAGAAAATGGGCTCGTTTTCCTTTCTCTGTCATCGCCAGCTACAGGGCTCCTTCCTGCCTTATTTATTTCCCTAGGAAGTCTGTTTCTCTGCTAGCGCCTTGATGGCTTCTGCAGGTGTGTGAGCACTGTCTCCCCATCGGGCTGTCAGGGCCATGGCTGCATCCAGAGCCCAGCTGCAGCCGACTTCAGTTCAGGCACGAGAGTCCCCAGCCCCGAATCAGAGGTTGACACATGGGCTTGATGGCAGCAGGGCAATTAGGGCCCCCAGCCACCACATACGTAGGGCTGCCATGTGCCAGCCCTGGGCTTGGTGCTTTCTGGGCCCTCTTTCATTAGATTGGCTTAACAACTCTTAGAGGCAGCACCAAGTATTAGCAGCCCCATCTCACAGGTGAGGAGACAGGCTCCAAGGTCACAGGGCCCTGGTAAAGCCAGGCCTTTTGTATTCCCAAGCCCAAGGTCTTTGCTGCTCAGCAGGAGAGATGCCTTCAAGTTATATTGTTTAGTTAGTTAGTAATCTCTACGCCTGCCCATCATGGGGCTCAGACTCATGGCTCTGAGATCAAGGGTCACATCCTCTTACTGATCAAGCCAGCCAGGTGCCCCATGAAGTCTCTGTGAAGCTCTTACCTATCTGGAAATCTCAATTATCTATCATTTGTATTGTGCTTTTGGCCATATTCTCATGAGTCCTCTTGACACTCCTTTAAGGTGAGAAGTGTCTGCTTTGCAGAAGGAAAAAATGGGGAGGCCACCCACCCTCCAGCTCTTCCTACCCTGTCCACACTGTGACTTGGAAAGGGAACAGAGTGTCGTATTCCCTGGGACGGAGGGCTGTGCCTTCCGAAGTGCAGGGGTCAGCCAGCGAGCATTCACTGAGCACTTCCTGTGAGGGCTGCAGGGGAGGTTGAGGCTGTGACCCTTCTGGGGTTTACGGAGGTTCATCTGTGCTCTTGGTCTCAGGAGCATTTCGTGTAGTGCCCTGTCCCCCTCCGGGCAAAGGAATTTAGGGTAGGGCGTCCAAAGCCCTGAGTTTCATTCCCAGCTCTAGCATACACTAGCTGTGTGCGTGTTCTAGGGCACAATCATACTGTCACTCTTGGCCTCAGTCTCTT